TACATTTGTACAGTACCCATAGAGGCCAGAAGAGTCCATGGATCCCCTGGAACTGGACTTACAGAGGGTTGTGAGGCACCATGTGGGTGCTGGGAACAGGTACTTTGCAAAAGCAGTAAGTGTTCTCAACTGCTGAGTCATCTCTTTAGTCCACAGCACTATCTGTAAGAGCCTCAAACTAGAAACAGAAGAAAGGAGTGTGGGATCTGCAGTTCTGCAAAGAGATACATTGTAGCAGGGAAAGTTTACACACCCTCTATTCCAGGAACATTTGGTCATGTTGGGAGACAGTTCTGCTTCAAGACAACTCAAGAAAGGCAATTGTTATCTAGCAGGAAGAGGCCAGGGATGCTATCATGCACCTTAAAATGCACAGACAGTAGCCTACAACAATTATCCGACGCAGAAATGTCAACAGGGGTTGGAGAGATGGCTCAGCAGTTGAGGGCTTGTACTGCTCTTGCAGAGGACCCAAGTCCAGTCCCTAGCACCCGAATCAGGAAGTCACACCCCACCTCCCAGAAAATGAAGAACCAGCCCAAGGTAACTTATGTTGGAAATCGGAACAACGTTCCCTTTCATTAGTGTGAACAGGGAGGAGGAGACAGACAGAAGGAATCTTCTGGCAAACTCNTTTTTTTTCCCGAGACAGGGTTTCTCTGTGTAGCTTTGGAGCCTGTCCTGGAACTCACTCTGTAGACCAGGCTGGTTTCGAACTCATCTGCCTGCCTCTGCCTCCCAAGTGTTGGGAGGTACCACCACCATCCCGCCAGGCATACTGTATCTTAAATATGGCTGCTATAACTAGCTCTGCTCCCTGTATGAAAACCATTCAATTTATGCACGTAGACTTTTGTTAAGTTTGTTAGCTACACACCAATGAATTTTCTTTTAAAAAATGAAATTTTTGGAGAGCATCTGGAAGCGGTTATCAAAAGTCTGTCACGGCGCCGAGATGTGCATTATCTCAACGGTGCCTGGGAGGAGGCAAGGTGGTTCTCTTGAAGTAATAGTCACATAAGACATATTCATATAAAAATAGCTAATTCTTTGCTTCAGACCTCATTTGATTATAAAACTTAAGGACTCGAAAAGTCAGGTGGTGGTGGTCCATGCCTTTAATCCTAGCACTCAGGAGGCAGAGGCACACTGACCTCTGTGAGTTCGAGGCCAGCCTGGTCTACAGAGTGAGTTCCAGGACAGCTAGGACTGTTACACAGAGAGACCCTGCCTTATAAAAAAAATAAAATAAAATCTATGAGATCTCTCATTTAGCACTGAACATTTTTCTAAGCTTAAATTAGCAGATCAGCTCCAAATTAGAACTGTAACTCCAACAACCTGCCTAATCGTGCCCTCACTTAGCCGGGCTTCCACATGACGGACTAATGGGTCTACCATGGCGCTACACCCCATCCCCTACATCTACTTTCCAAAAGTACTAACTTGAAAGTGATTTCATACTCTAAAGAAAAAAAAAGGACAAAACTCAACAAAGCTGCACTTAGTACAAACCTTTATTCTCATTTTAACTCACGTTAAAACCCTGAGTCTGCATCAAGCACACTGTGCTGTTATTGAGAAGACTGCCATAATCTTGCCTCCTTTCCTTTACAAACAGGTCATTAAGAATCCCATTTCGTTTTGCAAGTGTCTTTCGTGCCTTTCAGGTCTCACCAATGTTATGGGAGGCGCTGCAAATCTTGGCTACTGTGCTCTTCACTCTCAAAGGGCAGTCGTGGCCATAACGAGGCGACCTCCCCCAAGCCTTCATCGGCCCACGTCACCCACTCACCTTACTTATGGGAATCCGCCTCCCCTCCGCTATGGTCTTCTTATTATTTAAATAAGCGGGGTAGATACAAATAAACCTGCCACAAAGCACACAAAAAAAGCACAGCTGGTAACTTAAGTGGTCATTTAAAGCGGACAACTTCATTGTCATCGCAGAGACATTATCTATTCAACACAGAACAAGGCGGCGACTGTGAGTTGACACAGCGCCCGTCAAGAGTTCCCGAGGCTGGGACGCGCTCTTACACGACCCGGAAAAACTCAGCAGACACCAGCGAGCCTCTCTGAAAGCGACCCTAGCGCAGCAGCGATCTTCGCGGCCTGACTTTCTCTAACGTCAGCCACAGCCGGCCGCAGCAGCAGCGGAGAGCGGTGCAGGGGGTTCGGCGGGGGAGAAAGCCCGAGCCCGGCGCCCCGGCGGCCAGCCTTCCCGGGGACCCACCTGTCCTGGTCGGCTGGGGACCGCGCGGTCGCGCAAGCCATCTCCACGGGCGTCCCCACGGCCCCGCCAGCCCGAACCCCAGATCACCAGCCGGAAGTTGACTCGGAGCTCGCAGGCCGACCGCCCTTCCGGCGGAAGTCCTACCCACAAAGCGGCCGGCTGCCGGTTGTCCCTCATAAGTTGGTTCCGGCGCGGAGTGACGTGGCTTGCACGGCTGTCTTCTCGAGAGAAGAGTGCAAGGCGATTGGGGACCGGACCCTTGGCGCTCAGGAGTGACCTCCGCCGGCTGCACACCGGGTAGAGCGGGCCGTCCACCAAGGGGAGTCGGTGGAGTTGAAATAATTCAATGTTTTACTAGCATATCTATGTATTAGTTACACAAAACAATGGGTTTTACTGATAATTTCATATACACATATCTAGATAGTAACTCCCCAGTACCTTCTGGTCCCTCTCCCACTCCTGAATGGCCTTCCTCTTCCCAGTTAGTCCCCCCTTTCTTTCCTGTCTTTCTGTTTTGATGACCCAGTGAGTTGTGCACAGGAAAATGCACATCTCGCCAGTGTTTTCCTCCCCCCCCCCCCCCCCCCCCCCCCCCCGTGTTCTTCCACTGTCACCTGTGGAGAAATCCTTAGGGATCTATGAGCTTTTATACTTCTCTTCTAACCCCTGTTTCCCAGTTTGGGTAGAAATAATTTAATTTTTAGTGTAAGACTAAAAGCACAAGATTAAAATCATCAATCATTTCATCTTTCCTGTTTTGAGTATGGTAGTTTGAATGTGATTGGCCCCCATAAACTCATTGGATGCGGTACTATTAGGAGGTGTGGCCTTATGGAGGAAGGGTTTCACTGTGGGTGGGCTCTGAGGTCTCCTGTGCTCAAGATACACCCAGTGTCTCAGTTCACTTCTGCATATCAAGATGCAAAATTCTCAGCTCCTTCTCCAGCACCATGTCTGTCTGCAGGCTGCCATGATGATAAGAGACTGAACCTCTGAACTGTAAGCCACCCGATGAAGTGTTTTCCTTCATAAGAGTTGCTGTGGTCATGGTTCCCCTCACAGCACAGGAGCCCTAAATAAGACAAGAGAATTTGGACTGAGATGCACAATTATTTACCTTTTTATTCACTCTTCTGATTGTTTCAATTGTTACTTTGCATTTAACTGATGCTTCCGATGTGGCTGTGTCGTGGTCCCTGGTTTCCCAGTGCTTTCTATGGGCCCCCAGGAGATTCAGACAATCCTTGTCTTACAGACCTCGCCTCCTCCATAGAGATAGCCTCAGTGTGTAACCTATCACTCGCCACTCACTCACTGAAGCGAGACTTCAGTGGGGAGCAGGCAGCACGAAATGAGGGCCATACCCATTTTTATCTTGGCGTCAGGAGCAGCAGCTGGTTTTCACTGCAGTAGGTCTGTTCTGGAGGCCGTTTCTATCACAGTTCTCAAGACTTATTTTTCTAGCTCTCACATTTTGTGAGCTGATATTCTAAACAGACCTTGTGTGCTGGGCACAAGCTAAAGTTGTCTGAGAGGGAGTCTCCACCGAGAAATAGAGCAGGGCTGCAGGGCATTTTCTTAATTAAAGACTGGTGGGAGAGGACCCGGCACATTATAGGTGGGGCCATCCCTGGGCTGGTGGTTCTAGGTTCTGTAAGAAAAGTGGGCTGAGCAAGCCAATAAACAGTATCTGTCCATGGCCTCTGCAACAGCTTCTGATTCCAGGTTCCTGCCCTCACTGCTTTGGTCAAGGTGTTTCAGTACAGCAATAGTGACCCTAACTAAGACAGCCTGTTGTTTAGAGGACTTAAGAAACTTGAGAGAATCTCAAATGATAAAAGCACTTTAGACAAATGGGATGTTTTTATTTCCTTCCAAGGGATGCAAATACTGTGATAATCTTATCATTTAGTATTGTGGGAATCGGACATCAGTCCAGTTCTTTTGACAGTGACTCCTTTTGTTTTTGAATAGGCTGGGAGTGTGGATCACTGGTAGAAGTACTTGGCTTGCACACTTGATTCTCCCCCATTACCAAACCCAATGATGATGTGTTTAAGTGTGGCTTTGTTAGCTTCCAGTCACTTTAGCAACTGGGGTTGGTTCACAAACGCCAAGTCAGGAAAACAGAAACGGGGAATTCTGGTAGCTAGTGATTGTCTCTTAATTGCTCTTTCCTGAATCTGCTCCCTTCTTTCTTGCCTGGCTTGTTACACAGTCCCAAGTCAGCCTTTAGTCTGCAGATCCTCTCAGTTACATCTCTCCAGCCGAAACCTGTGTGTGTGTGTGTGTGTGTGTGTGTGTGTGGTCTATGTGCACATGGGCGGTCAGGCCAATGCACACATGGAGGTCAGAGGAAGAGGTCAGGATCCCACTCTAACACTGCATTATCCCCTTGAGAAAAGGGTCTCTCACTGAGCCTGGAGGTAGGCTGGCCTTCACCCCCTCAAACTAGAGATGACCTTGAACTCCTGACCCTCCTACTCGCCCCCCCAAGTGTGTGTCACCACACCAGGCCAGAAAATTTGTGACTTTTATCTCAAACTGACTAGCCTAGTCAATTTAGTTTATCTAACCCAGGCCACATAGGTCTTTAGGTGCAGTCATGATCAGGAGAAAGGCTGGGTACATGGTTCAATGGTTTATCAGTGGGATAAAGTGTTTAGGTCCCAAGAGTGTGAATAAATGGACGGGTAATGCTGGCACTTCCTTCAAAAGATGTTTCTTCCTAGTGTTTTTTATATTCAACAGCAACCTTCACTAGTATACATTAAGCATTTTTAATTAAAAATAACAATCAGGTAACTTCAAGAAAGTAAGTGAACAGAAATATAGAGAAAAATTATCCTGAATACCAGAGGAAAGTATATTTAGCACCAAGAACAGTATTACACATATAGAACATACAGTTTGAAAGATGCATCAATGGCCTAACAAAAAGCAGAACATATTTTTGTAGACCAGAGTTAAGAGAACAGGAGGAAAATGACGTGGGTTTACAGAAGTCACAGTTCATAGATTTCCACATTACAGAGTAGTATTCTAAGGTCAGCATGTGAGGGAAACCGGCTAATAGAAAGTGAGAAAGAAGACACACTCCATGTTAGCCTCCTCGACTCTTGAAAAGTTGTTTGGGAGATTTTAATCATCTGACCACGCAAACCCATCTTTAACTTTGGGCAGTTTAATTCTTGCATTTCTGGTATTCTTTTCTTAGCTGTAAGAAACCCCGGCAACTGTCTCCCATTTTCAGCAATGAACTCATTTTTCAATTAACTTTGTGGTAATATGATCCACATTTTACACATAAAGAAAATTCTGCCCGCACAAACAGTACTGGTTGGTTCCCACAGGGCCTATCTTACTTCCTCCGTTATCTGCAAAGCTTACCATCGGTTCATCACCGCTACTGTGCACAAATGGGTGATTTTCCTTTCACCTACAACCAATTTTCTCTCATCTCCAATTTCTCTTTTCATAGTCTCATACTGCATATCCAAACTACATATTGGTAAGGCTCTTTAACGGGAGCTGTCTCCTTAACACAAGCTGATCCTCAGATGCAGTGGACGTATTGAGAACTGAGTGTTCGTTATTCTGGCGAGTTTACTCCCTACTGTGAGTTGACATAGGCTGTGGAATTGGACAACTCAATATTCAGGTCTTTCATGCCAAGGAGCTTCCTTGGCAGATTAAAGGTCCAGTTGTTTAAGTGTTAAGAGCTGTGCTGTGGCTACTAAGGACAGTGGTTCTTTGTGGTCCCCACCCCATAAGGCCACGTATCATCCCTGAACTTGTTTTTGCAACCCTTTCCAGATCAACCCTCTAAAACTGTGGGGCCCAGCTGTGATTTAATAAACACTTCTGATGACCCAAACACACCTACCTGTCTGAAAACTGCTACCTTAGGTTTTCTTTGCTGTAGTCCAAACTAAATAGGCTCCTGCCCTTTGAATAGCCTGCTAAGTAGTAGCCGATCCCCAACAGTGGGCTAGTGTGCCATTAAAGCAGAAGCTGGCTTGCTACCAGTTAAGACACCACCCAGTGAACTTTCCAAAGCAGAACGGGGGAAACCCCTTCACTTCCACAGCCATTACCTCTAGCCAGAGGGTTTCACCCAACAACTACAAGGGACAACACAGACAGACCCTTCCAGTAGGGCTGCCCATGGGGATTTTAGTCTCCAACAGGTGGAATGAACTCTTCTTTTAGTTTGAACACTGATTTTTAAAGACATGTACTAAAAAGCAATTTATTCTAACTAAATAACTCATATCTTTCCACAGAAATACTTGAAGTGGCTTATAAAAATTGGCGTGCAGTAATTCTAACGAAAATTAGGACTGGAAGACAGTTATGACTACATTCCCATCCCTGATGCTTACGGCAGCCCAGGAGAACATGATGGGATATTGTTAAAAAAAAAAAAACAACAAAAAACAAAAAACACACACTTCAGATAGTCTGACAAAAATTGAAACTCTTGGCTAATTACGTGTATCAGTGTATTCTCCCTCATGACGGAGTCTCTCTGCCATATGGGAAGTGGGCACTAATCACCTCACCACTGTACCCATTAAAAACAAAATTGTCCTTAACAGGCAGGAACTAAAGAAACCTTTTGACTTTTGAATTATGGTGCATGTGTGGAAGTTAGAGGGCAGCTTCCACGTCACCTGCTGAGACACCCTGTTGGCCCTAGGCAGTCCTTTGGAAACCTATGAGCTTTGTGTGTGCAGGCGCAGGTGTGTGGAGGTCAGGGGGTAGCTTCAGGGAGTTGGCTCTCCTCTTTACCACGTGGGTCTTCAGGCTTGATGGCAGTCACCTTTATCTTTCTTTAAAATTTATTCTAACAGCATTAAATTTATCTCTGACATTTCACTGACTTGTATTTTTTGAGCATGAGAAAATACTGATTATACCTGGTCACAAACAATCTACTTTAACATATAGGGTGGTGACAGGCATTAATTTCAGACCCAGTTTCAACATGGAGATGACAGGGTAAGACAGTTGCACTGTAAAGCCTGAAAGACACAAGTGGTACCTGTCAAAAACCAATGTTTCAAGTATGAATCCTATCAAGGAAAAGGAGCTATTATTCTATGTGGGCCGATCTGTCCTCGTCTTGTGCTATTCCAGGCATTTGCTTTAATCAGACTCCAGAGTAGTAAGAAAAGAAGTGGAGGGACATCAAGCTTTGAGAGGTGCTAAGTACATAAAAATAAATTTTAGGAATGGGTAAGTGTCAACAATCTTCTTCATTGTCTTTATTACAGTAAGAGGGAATTTTACTCTTAATGCATAGAATCTCAAGAAAAACTTTACATTTAGCTTTTAAAAGAGGCCCTTTGACAATTATTAATACAAACGTGAAATAAGACCCTTCAAACAAATACCAATTTCAGTAATAGTTTACATACAGCAATAATTTATTCTGAAATGTTCATTTAGTTTGAGACACCACTCATGTCTCATTAATAAAAGAGCAGCCATTTTACCTCAAATACCAGAATATACAACAGTTACAGCATAGCAAAAATCCTACCTACTTTCGATAAAATCTAGTTCAGGTAAAATAGTTCCATTCAATGTTTTACAGTTACACAGATCTGAATTGTTACACTGTAGCTATCCTATGCACACCATGTGATCACAGAACCAATAATCATTACCTCTGAAACTGAACCATCAGCTTCATTCATGCAGTAAAGCAAAGCAGGCTGGGTAAACATATCCATTGGGAACCATATTACTGTGAATTTCACAGCCACATGATTAATTATGACATTAGATGGATTCACGAGGACTATTTTTGCATAAATACCAATTTCTCCCTGATGTAAGTTTATTTTATAATCTAGAAATGATTGATAACAGCAATATATCATATAGCATCTATCTGTAGTGTTAAGATAAGCGATAATTAAAGGACGAAGGGATGGATGCCACTTAAATACGTGTGAAACATACTGTACAAATATACTTGGCTTTACCATTTCTTTCCTACCTAACAAGAGTGCCTTCCAAAATGACCAGTGAGGACCAAGTGGACTATCAAATATGGTTTCCAGAACAAAACCCCTCTAACAAGAGTCAAACCTATTTACAAAAATTTTCAACCTTTAAAGTTTTCTTTGAAATAAAGTCTCTATACAGCAGTTGTGATAAAACCAGCTTTTCCTAGGTTTGTCTTCCCAGCTCTTTTAAACAGATGTCACGAGGTAAGACCCAGAATGGCGCTTAGGACTTTGGGCTCCACTGGATTCTGTGCTGTCAGTCTTTGAATCCCGCTTCTTGGTGTTGTTGCTCACGGGCGTTGGGATCTGCGAGGGCCGGGCTGACGTGCTATCTGCACTGCTTTTCCGAGGGCTCGGGTTGTAATTAAAAGGCGACACTCGGGCAGCAACAGTCCCACTAGGTGAGCTGTGTTTGCTGGAGCTGCTTGAACTGAAAGGGGTGCGCTCGACCACACACGTCTCACTGGGCTCTGCTGCAGGCACAGAGCTGCTCTGTCCAGGCTTTGCCTCCGTTCCCTTCTGCTCTGGGGCGTCCACCTGAATAAAGGAGTTCAGGCGGTTCTCCAGGCCCACGGTGAGCACAGGACTGTGGCTGCTCACACTCTGCTTTCCCTGGCTGTCTTTTGCGTCTTTAATGCTTGGATTTCCCTTTTCTGAAACACTGTCAATCACTGGAGGGGTGTTACCTGTGGGAGACCTTCCAGACCGAGGGTTGTTAATGGGACAGTCTTCAATTCTCACCCAAACGTCCTCTGTTTTAGAAACAGCAGGTGCCATCTGGTAAATCAGAGTCTTTGATTCAGCACCATGGGCAGCACCTGAGGAAGCGGTCTGAGAAACCATGTTTGTGGGAGATATTTCACTTTCTTTGATTTTCCTCCACGTGCCCTTTGTGGGTACCTGGTTCTCTTTCGCTTGTCTGGGTCCTGGCACGGAGTTCACATGCTTTTCATCCTCACTCTTTGCTTTTTCACTGGACTCTGATGAGGCGGAAAGAATAGAAGATGAGCTTCCAGTTCTTCTCCAAGTGCTCACTCGAGGGAGGGATGAGGAGTGTTTGCTGTGCTCTCGCTTCCAGGTTCCTGCCCGGTTGATTGGCAGTCTGGAAGGACTTTCGGAATGGGAGCGTGTGATATCGTGGCGCTTTCCTGGTCTTCCATCACTATACTCAATAGTGGGGCTGAGATTAGGCGGGAGCTTTCGCCATCCACCAGCCTGAACAGACGGATGTGTGCTCAGAGACATATCAGGAAGGGAGGGACTTAAAACTGGGGTCTGTGCCTGGGACCTGGTGGGAGAATCTGGTCTAGAAGATGGAGAAAGGGATTCAAACGAGGCAGATTCCTCCAGTTTCCTCCTTAGGGTCGGGCTTGGGGCTTCTTTGATGAAAGTAGACTGGCGTACTAGCGCAGGCCTTTCTGATCTATCTGACTCACTTCCACTTGACTTAGTTGAAGACATTCTAGAAAGTTCTACCTTCTTATTGGATCCATTGCCGTTGCTCATCTGGTTCAGCCCTTTAGACGCGGACTCGCTTCTCGGGATACTACTGGCATTCTTGGGTAAGCCTGCTTGTTTGGTAAGGTTTTGTTGGCTCATCTGTCTGCCAGGGGATGTATAGGACATTTTCCCAGAGCCCGAGGACTTGGTTGAAGCAGTGCTTGGAGACGATGTTCTGGGCAGCTGAGACAGTTTGTTAGGAGGGCTTATTCCATTTCTACCAGGGGAGATCGAGTTTCGCCCTGGAGACTGCAGTGGCCTACTTAATGGTTGCTGTGTAGGCCTTGAGGGAGTGGAGTCTCTAGATCCTGATCTTGAAGGCCCCTTATTTGACCCACTAATTTGGGAAGTCTGCCTGGTAATAGGGCTCAGCTCTGATTTTACTGATGGCTTGGTTCCTCTAGGAGAAGTGGTGGCTGCCGGAGCTTCACTAGGGCTTTTGGTGGCTGGAGTCTTGAGGGGTGGGCCCTTTTTAGAAACAGGACTTGTACTGGAGGAGCTATTCCGAACCCCAGGGATGTGAATCATGGTCCTGCCTCTTGAGATTGAGGGCATGTTTGTCGGGAGGGGCTGTTTCATTTGGCTGGAAATTTCTGAATTAGATCGAATCTTTCCAGTAATCAAACTTTTATAAACCTTTTTCCCACCTTTGATTCCTTTATTTTCAGATTCTATCTTTTTTGCTTCTAATGTGCTTTTCTCCCCCGGTTTGAGAATTCGTGGGCCTTTATTACTTGTGAAGGGTTTTTCCTCTTGATCAGGTGTGAGATGAAAGGGTGAGCCCAGGGAAATGCCTGACTTGAGCGAGAGGATGGAATCTGAATCGGACGAAGCCTGTCGAGATAAACACGCAGCAGCAGCAGCCTGGTGCAAACTACTCACTATGGAGTTCGCACCTTCTTGAATAGCTTTCCAGTCAAAATTCTCTGAATCAGGAGATAAGCCGTGTTCTGAATCTGGCCTCTGTATATCTTTCAAGTCAAGGGTCAGATCTTCAGCTAATATGCCTCCCATGTTTCTGGGACTCTGCTTTCCACTATCACCCTTGAGTCTTGAAGGTCTTTTCTTTTTCGGCATTGCAGAACTGATGCACTCCTGCAACAGGTCATCTTCAGAATCGATGCTCAGAGAGCTGAGAGAACTGTTTCTTGAGAAGCAGACAGGGGTGTCCTCAACATGAAATGACTTGGGCGCATACCCAGATGCCTGAGGCTTACTTGGTTCCCCCTGTGCATTAGCAGGTTCAGCTTCTTTGATTGGTTCATTTTCTTTGTTATTGTTGTTTTCTTGGTCAATGTCACTAAGGGAACTCAGAGAGGAATTTCGAGAAAAGCAAACTGGAGTATTTTCAATAGCAAAATTCTGCAATTTTTCATCCGTTGCTGCCCCCCTATCTGGCAAGTCTTTGGAGGCCTGGGGGAAAGTGGGTTGTTTCTGAAGCCCTGGTTTGGACTGTCCCCTGTTTACTGAATGTTTTGTATTAGCTTGTGACTTACTAGCTGACTGTTGGCTTGAGGTTGGTTCTGTGTGGCAGATACCTTTGGCTTCTGAATCCTTATTTTCTTTCCCCTTTCTTAACTCAGCCTTTTCCCTGGACAGGTCAACATCGTCATCATCAAAATCTAGAGAGCTCAAAGAATCATTTCGTGAAAAGCAGTAAGGAGTTCCTTCAATAGGGGTGTAAGGATGCGGTGAATCAAAGGCAAAGCTTCCGCGGACTCTGTCTTCGTTGTTCGGCAGCTTCTCACTGAAGTCCTTGGGGGTGTTTTTCAAGCTCTGTTTCTTTGAGTCTTTGCTGTCTGAGAAAGTTTCTTCAGCATTTACGTTAATTTTTGAGTCTGTATTCTTCCTCATTTGTGTTCTATATTCTGTATTTTGTGGCATGGGCTTTACTGGTGAAGTCGGCTTCTTTTTCTTAGTGTCTAATTGATTTTTGTTAGTTCCAGATGAAGTCACTGATGCTTGTTGGACCTGGTCCATTATCTTTTTCACTCGGAAAGGCTTGTGGCTTTTTCCTTTGGGCATAGCAGAATTGATACATTCTGCAAGAATATCTCCTTCCTCTGCTTTAGTGTCATCCAGGCCTGGCTTAACTACAGATGAGATGTTCCCCCTCTGAGCTTCATCTGAACATCTGCCCTCTGTAGGAATAGTATCTCGTTTTTCAAATTCGCCTGACTGTGTACCTGCTCTAATTCCGTCACCAGCAGCCAACTCATTTGGAGGGGATTCTATTGTCAGATCACTTAGAGATGTCGCCGTGGAAAAGTTTATAGGTGTCCCTTCTACACAGTACACGCGGGGCATATCATCTCCTGGTGTGAAGCTAACATGCTTTTGTGTCTGCAGTCTGTTTTGTGATGGCAGAAGTTTGTACACAGGCAGCTGACTTGGCTTCCTTGCCACAGGTGGAGGTAATTTTGAAGCAGTCTGGGCTAGCTTTTTGGCTTTGCGTGATGACTTTGTTGGCATGGCTGAGATAATGCACTCTTCTAATATTTCAATATCGTCGTCATCTGAATCATCTAATAGGTCCTTTTCAGAATCAGGATTTTCTACCTCTTTCTCCTGATTTTCACTGGACTCTTCAGGCTGCTCTGGCTCGGTTTCATTCCCGTTGTCGTTTTCCTGAACTGGGGGCATTATTCTTAATTCCACGTCCTTCTGTATAAAAGGCTCATCGAGGCTCAGCGCGCTCAGGCTGGATGAACAGGAAAACCCATCTGGAGTACTTTCTGTGGCAAAGTGCAGTAAAGTATCAGCATCCGGAAGGACCTGGACCCTCTGGACTGCAGCATTCACAGCGGTCTGCTTAGGGCCACTCTCCCTCTTCTCCGCGGCAGGTGCTTTCGTTTTTGGCACCTCTCTCTTGGTCTGGACTGTCTGGGGAGGAGGAGGAGGGGTTTTGCTTCTGCTTGGTGGCATGGTCTGGCCAGGGCTATCTGGAAGGTCACTGGGACTGATAATGCCACTCACCATTCCACTGCAAGGCTCACTCTGAACAGAGCTAGCAATGGAGCGACTCTCAAAACTGTCAAGTGAGCTGACAGAAGTGCAGCGGCTGAACACAAGTGGGGTCTCCTGGACGTAATGTTCGGGGGGACTTTTGGGCGTCTGAGCACCACTTTTGGAGGGAGACTTGGCCCCTGAAGAAAATTCAACAGCCTTATGCCTGGTTGATTCTGAAGATAAGCCAGAAGCCTGGAGTCGGCTAGGTTTGGTTCTGGCGCTCTGGGACACTGCTGGAACTTCGCTCGCAGGATCTTCAGCTGATGGAGTTCCATCGTCCTCCTTTATCTCTGCTATCTGCAGAGTGTTAGCAGAATCTGCCTGCTGTGTTGTCGGACCACATCCTATTTCATCTTCAGCTGATGACAGGGATGATAAGGAACTGCACCTTGAGAAACAAATGGGGGTGTCTTCTACACAGTAAGTCTGCATAGTTTCTTGGTTGATGGAGGGGACTTTGCAAGTGTTCCCTTTTTGAGCCTGACCATTTCTCTGTGCTGAACTTGGATGTAGCTGATTCTGCCTTTTGGCATTAGATGAGGGTGTGGATGTGTTCTCGCTGCTTGGAGAGAGATGTTCAGTTTTGGTGCTTTGTGCTGATGAGTTCTTAGAGAATGGAAACGATGGTTTCTGGGAGGAAGAGATGTCAGTGGCGTATTTTAAACTATAGTCAATAGGCTGATCCACATGATGTTTTTCTTCGTTATATTTTATACTATAGTTTGTTGGTCTCTCCCCTTCTTCATGTTGTTCTTCCTCTGAATAACGCTCACTGTAGTTGGTAGGCTTGTCATCTTCATAGTCATCTTCCTGACACAAAGACTGGTTTACATTTTGATTAATTGCATGACTAGAACCCATTCGATTTGTTTCTGACCCACTGGTTCCCCTAGACCTATATGGGGAAACACATTCCTGTTGTCCAAAATGTGGTTGGAACTTGAGGTGTTTATCATCCGTGTTCTCAGGATAGACAGGATAACTGGAGTTTTGGCTTCTGGGCTGTCTTTGCTCGTTCTGCTTTATCTCATCTTCTATTACATGCTTCGGTCTTGCCCATCTTTCATTCTGTGAGGGACTCTGCCTTCCAGAGTTCAACTGCTCATCTGAATATTTAAGACTGTAATTTATTGGTGTGTCCAGTTCTCCATCATTATCATCCATATGATTTGCACTATGTATCTTATGGGCTAGGTCAGCTGGATACTGACCATAACTGCAAAACTTACTTTCATCATCTTCAGAATAGGACTCGACGGAGGGCTTCATCTGACCTCTTTTACCGTAGCCATCACTACTGTTGACACTGTTTAAACTGTCATTGGAAGATCTCTTATACTCCACTTTGGCATAAGGCATAGAGCATGTCCTATTTGAATTTTCCGACTTAGTGAAGCTGTATGTGTTTGAATGTGTATGGGAAGCAGAGCTTCTCCGTGCTGCATTCCTCTCATCCGGCACACAGTGGAATTCGGTGGTAGAGCCGGAACTCCTGTCTTCCTGGGAGGTATGAATGGCTGATACTTCTTCCATAACTTTGGCAATCTGGGCTGCAGTGCTAGAGATCTGCAAACCTCGTTTCGAAGAGGTTCCTGGATTTTCTGTTGTTGAATGGTAAGTGCTGAGGCCAATACCTCGCTCTCTCTCTAAACTTCTGTCTTTTTCAGAACGAGAACTGTCTAAACTTCCCCTTGAAGAAGAGCTGGGCAATACTGTAGTATTTAAATATGGTGAAAGAACAGTCATGTTCCCAGTATTAAAATTGTCTGCCCTATTATCATCATGTCGATTGGTGTCAAAAACATAGTCACCATAAAGATTTGGCTTGTGTCTCTGCTTGCTACGATGAGATGCCTTGGGACTTAAGTTGTCAATATTGTCAAAGGTTTCTGATAAATGCTGAGCATCTAACTCTGCTTCTAGGGCCTTTTGCTTCCTAACATGAAGAGATGGCAAACTTGACCCAGGAGACATAATATTGGCATCCTTATACTTTGCAGGTCTGTTTGCCATGAGGTTCCTTAAAGCTGCAGCACTTCCCATAGCAATCATTTTGTGCTTTGAATGAATGAGGTTCTTGAGCATGCTCACTGCCCCCATGTCCCATAAAGCTTCCTGGTCTTTAGGATTTCTTGCTGAGAGATTCCACAGAGTTCCACAAGCATTACTGACTATTGTCAAGCTGTGAGATTTCAAGTGCTGTAATAAAGTCTGTAGGCAATTGTTCTCTCTTAGGATTTGCCTGAATTAAAACAAGAACACATAAGATTTAGGGGGAAATGTGGTTAGTGGCAACAAATAAAGGGACAGAAAGCAACTGTAAACGCTGAGCTGACTATTAAACACAGCCAGCACAGTATGAGTCTCTCAGCTCTCTTGTCAACTCCACCTAGCCACCTCTCCTTTTGTTCTCTTGGTTCATTTAATATTTACTGTTTTAAAGTATCCATCTGTCAGACCAGAAGTAGGAAAAGTGAATGTTAGGTTTCATTTACTCTGTATTCTACTCTGATCCACTACATGAGAAAAAGAATTATTTTTGAACAAATACATTTTCTCCATTCACACAGTACGTTTCCTAACTGAAGAACTACAAACACATTATGAAATCTAAATTAAACAGGGACTGTGGCAATTTAATTTATGGTGAAGCAACCATGTTGAATACTGAGGAATCTTGGAAGCAGAAGACAGGTGATTGATAGATCTTTACGTAGTCAGGGAGCACACATGCTTCTAGAATAGCAAGCTTACTTTCTAGAATGATCTCTGTACCTGTGAAAGTGCCATGTCCTTTGTATGTGGTTGTTGGCACACTAAAAAGAACATGATATGCACTATGAAAATGTAACACTTACAGGACAGCACGCTGCCCTAACCTGAAGTGACTTCTGAAGCTCCACAGATTAGTAGACATGATGAACAGTTCATGACTAAGCAATCTGAAGACTGAGGTGAAGACACCATTAGAAAATTGTGAAAGCCTTTATACTTCCTAGATCATACTCAGCAGTTTTTTCTTTGCTTAAAAATTAGTTTTATATTCCTTTACATTATCTAAACAGGCACAAAAGAACTAAAAATATTCTGATTTTTATTCATATTTTTACAGGTAGGCTGTGCTTCTCAACTACCATTTATTTATTTGTAAATTTCTATAAGATACTTCAAACTTTACTAGCAAAAACATGCAAATGAGTTATACTTGGAGATGTAATTATCTTCACACTGCAATAAGGACATCTTGCTTAAAGCTTTCATAGTGCCAAAAATATTTTACAATTAGGTCTTTTTAAAGAAAATAAACTATAACAACCCATTTAAAAGTAATATAAAACTTAGTATATACCTGTGGTCTTCATTTGTAGCTATCAAGCTGGACACATTTCGTAATATCCCACCTCCACTTTCAATGATGGCTAGCGTATTTGTCTGGCTTCGGTAAGTGAGAGTGCCAACCAAAAATGCAAGTGCCCCGTCCACGGCACAGATGTCAGCTTTATTCTCAGTGCAGTGTGCGGACAGATTCCATAAGGCACTCAAGACACTTTTGAGGGTTGATTCCTATTAATGATGGAAACAGAGTATGCATCCATATGTTAGAATCCTTTCTCTTTTTGTCTCCTTCCTGCACATTCCTCACTAGTAAATCAGGAACTTCTCATTTACAAACACTTTCGTGCACGCCAAATGAAATCTAGGTCAGCACTGTTCCTATTATACAGTATTTTTTTTTAAAGAGTGGCCAAGAAGGCCTCACTCTTTTTTTTTTTTTTTTTTTTTTTTATGATTACATTCTGCCTTGATGTATGTCCGCATGCCAGAGGAGGGCGCCAGATCTCAGTACAGATGGTTGTGAGCCACCATGTGGTTGCTGGGAATTGAACTCAGGACCTCTGGAAGCGCAGCCAGTGCTTGTAACCTCTGAGCCATCTCTCAAGCCCCTTATACAGTATTATAGCAGTGACCTTTGTTCCAAGTGTTTAGACGTTAGATATATCTTTAATGAACCCAGAATATGAAGCAGAATTGATATTCACTAATTGTATTCACTATCACAAAATAATATCAGGAGGATAACAGAAACTCAATTAAAACACCTTCATATACTGTAACACCTTCATATACTGTGTATGTATATGGAAGGATATCTAAGTACTAAGTGGCAACACACTGCAGAGAAGGTTATGTAATATTCTATTTGTATTAAAAACAAATATATGTATTCATATGCTGTTGGTTAAAAATAATGTAACTTCTGAAAAGTACTAGAATATGTACAAATTCTTAAAATTCCTGAAGAAACAAAGTTATTATGAAAATGCCCAAGCTCCCTAATATAAAAAAATGTAACTGCCACAGATACACTTTGATACACAATTAATGTGTCTGGTCATAATTTGTCACATTCCAGAGTCAGTGTTTTTTTTTTTATGATACCATCAAGGAATCTTCATTAGAAATGTATTTGTTCCTATTAGGACAAGAAGCACTTCAGACAATACAGATGCAATACAGTACTCTAAAAAAAAAAGGCTATAGCAGTCTGAATTTAATATAAATACCTCATAAAGGGGACAATATTGTAGGAGGATAATATAGACAATGTAGAGAGAAAACACCAGAAACAAAAACTAGGTTCTGAACACAGTCTGAATTATTTTACTTAGAGTCTGACATTAGTTTTTGTTCCTGTAGGAAAATGTTAAAGAATAGAATGGCTGGGTAGTTTGGAAGGTGTATGTTTAACATAAATCCTATCCAAATGTTTCCCTAAGCGCTCACACACACTTTCACATTCCCAACAATAGTACAGAATGCCTCCAGTGGCTCAACTACCTTGACATGTGGCTTACTTTTTAACATTAATTCAGTATGGTATGCATAATAGCATCTCACTGTAGTTTAACAACGAATGATGTCCTGTACCCTTTTCAGCATGTAGTGGCTAATTACCTGTTTAGCAGTATCTTTCTACAGAACCTACATACATTTAAACAAGGCTGCATGTACCTGTGTATGGTGAATACACAAGTGTCTGTGTGAGCTGTGAGAGAATAGGTGTGTCACGCCACCATGTGCAAGTCAAGGAGGACAGCCTCTGATGTTGGGTCTTGCCTCCCTCCTTGTTTCAGACAGGGTCTCTCTGGTGGTTTACACCTTTAATCCAGCACTAGGCAGGCAGAGGCAGGTGGATCACCTAGTGCAGTACTGAACATTTAAAAGTTACCTTTTTAACTTCCAAAGCACATTCCATCAATGCTTTCACACTTCCAACTTCTCGCAATGTCTTTTTGCTATTTACATCTGCTCGCCAAGACAAATTCCTCAAAACACTTGCAATAACCTGTAAATAATCAGGTTTAGAATAATTTGCATACAAAATGAGTCATACTAGTTACCTTTTTGTTTCTAATGCCAGAGGTAAGAATAGGAATCTATTACAAGTTAAATACATCTTATCTAAAAAGCTTGGCAACGTGTTTTGATTTTAAAATTGGCTTTATGAATATTAGTACATGTGACATTCCCTGGGTATAAGATTACACTCCATATATATGTACTGTACACGTTTAACCCAAAGGCAACTTTATGTAGTATTTTAATAACTTAGTGCACTGAACAGTTCCACAACACAGATTTTCCACACGTGGTGTCATGTAAGCAGCATACAAATAGTTTCACATTTAGGATTAGGAATGCTCCAGCTACATTATCAAAGCATGGCATTTGCATGTCTCGAAAGGTCATAAATGAAAACCAATAATTTAAATATGATTGATTACAATAATAAAAATAGGAATTTTCTGCCTATAGCAAATTTCTCATATATGTTACGAGGATGTCAAAAGGAATTAGTTCAACATAAATATTTTCCTTTACTTTAGCGTTAATGGAACCATACTTTAACGTAAACCACTAAATACTGAGCCAAAGTTTAATATAAATCAGTACATTAACCGTTACTATCCAGGAAAACACTAGAAATTCTAAGCAGTACCTGCTGTAAGTCTTCACTTTCAGATTTCAGCTGGGCCACGAGTGCTCTCATGCAGCCTTTCATAGAACACAGCGTAGCCTGCAAAGGGAGACGCGGAGCAGCATCGTTAGTGAGACGGCCTCAGCTGGCTTCTTTCTAGCTACTGAATTTCAAAGCTGGTTCTTACTTAAATCATAAATGTTATTTTACCTATACAAGACCCAGAACAAAACTACCTAGATGGAAGACAGATGCCTCCCATTTCTGTTATCTATCTTTTACCTAACTGGAAAAGCCAAAAAAAGCCCCGAGAAACAATAAGGCAGAGCATGGTGCTGTGCTGTCTGTAGTGGTAGCTTATGCTTTCTCCTGGAACAGTGCTTTGGTAATTATTCTTTCCTCCAGTACTGCTGGTCTGCACTGTCTAGGTGGATGAACCACCATTTTTTGCTACATGCCCAGTACCAGGAGCAATGCTGCTGGAGCAGCTATGTAAATTCAGCACAGCAGTCTAACGTCAGGTGCACTTTTGCTTTGTTTAGGCAAAAGACAACCTACTAAGCTGGGGTGTGCAGCAGTGAGGAAGGACTTTTATCAGCCATTGCTCAACTGGGGTGGGGTGGGGTGGGAGACACCAAAAACTCAGAAGAAATTCTTTGCTTCTTTAGTTCAAAAAGTTGTTTTTATGAAAATAAATTGACTCGTAATTGAGTTACCTTAAGAAGTAAATCTTATAAAAAGACATACCTTGTTGGCAACATCTCCAAAGGTCAAGTTTGTCAAAGCCATTCCAGCATACCGTCTTAAAGTAATACTGTAGTGGTCATTAGTAAGCCCATACATCTCACAGTCCACCTGTAACAACTCTGCAATGGCCTGCAGTCCCCCTAATTAACAAGGGTAAAAGGAAAAACATAATAATCTAGAATCAAATAAAGTGGTATAATTTGGCAGCTTAAAAACCAGGGGAAAATCTCAAAGAATGAGACTATATGATTTAAATAAATTTCCCTTTAAAATGAAAAAGCCACAAAACTGCTATAAACAATCTCTGTGTAATATAAAGTACAACCGACACGATTCCACTTCCTGCCAGTGTCTCCACCCTCCAGCCTCTAGCTTTACTGAATGACACCACCACTGTTTTCTGCTCACTGACATACACTGTACCTTGGCAACAATGGAGGCTATCTGCTATAACATGGGTCTTCCTAAGCCTAACAGAAAAATTAACTTATTGCTAGTGTAAGGGCTTTAAAACTACTTTCCATTGTCATTTCCTGTGGCCTAATGCTTTTTTTGAAGTGTCAAATAAGTATCCTTCAGAATAATGAAACTTTTAAATGAAATTGTGCATTAAGTAAAACTTATTTCATATAAAGAACAATCTATTCAACCAACTATAAAGTTTCTTTACAAAATAATCTTACTTCCCGTGGCTACTACAACATATCATCCATACCAGGACTCAGTATTTTCCTCCTTCCTAATACTCAACTAGCAGGTATGCTCAGTAATGCTCACAATGGCCAACACTAGGAAGGAAAGGAGAAACATAAAAGGGGAGGAAATGGGAAGACAACAAAGGAACGAGCTATAAAAAAAGTGAAGTGAAACGGTGAGGACAAGAACAAAAGGGAGGTAAAAAGCACATGGACTATTAAAGGGTGGTTGAGCAGCAAGCACCACAGGACTTGGGGTATGGTCTTTTAAAGAAGGTTGCTCAGGCATTTAAAAAAAATGAGCTTGTAGGTCTCAGCAGGTTGCTAACCTGAAAGACCAGCGCACTAACATTTTATGAAGAACATGAAAAGATCAGCAGAAGAATTTGTAGACCCACAAAATGAAGTTCAATGTTGAGCTTAAAACTGTAAGATAAGGTATCTTAATTACAGGAGGATTCATGCAGATCTTTATGACAAGAAGAGATGACAGGCAATTCTCTGAACACTGGCAAGCAAATCAATTTGTATAAAGAAAATCTAAACCATATTTATGAAGATTTCCCTCCATCTATTTGCAATAATGGGTTAAGTAGTGAGTGAAGCAAATCCAGTCACTGTCTTCACAAAACTTATGAGTGGTGTGCAGCACCCAGATCTACAGTGGAGAAGGCCCCACGGAAAGGTCTGAGAAACCAAGTTTAAGGTGAAGTCTAATGGATGACAGTATCTAACAAGGGCAGAGCAAGGAAGAGAAAGAATTAGTCTAGGTAGGATAAACAGTGTGTGTAAAAGGGCCCAACAAGGAGGAGGCCACCAACTGAAGCCACAACAATGAGCAGATCAGGATGTTAGGAAGAGGACATTATAAATAAAGTATGAGTGCAAGTGCAAAATGGCTTATGACTGGAAGTAGTACAAAATATGTAGAACCAGAGAGACAATGGTGCCTCGCTTCACAATGAGAAATAGCAAACACACACACACACACACACACACACACACACACACACACACTGCTGTTGTTTTTGAGACATGGTCTCACTATGCATTCTGATAGATTTGGAAGGAACTCCCTACGTAGATTAGACCAGCCTTGAACTCAGAGATAAACCTTCATCTGCTTCCCAAGCACTTGGTGTGTGCCACCATGCCTGGCTTGAGATATACTCAAGAATTAGGATTAAAGTGCTCCTTTACTAAACATAGGAGATACCAATGCAGTCACGGATGATTTTCCTAAGATTTTGATTTGAGCAAGTGGTTTATTAGAATGCCAGAAGGAAATCCGGAAGAGACAGATTTTGGGATGAAGGTAACATTTTCCATTTGTGAGAGTTCAGTTGGAAGTGTCTAGACTACCATATAAAGGAAGATGCCAGGTAAGTAGAATGAAAACATATCCAAAGGGTTTGGTGGTAGAGTGTTTGCCTAACACACATAAAACTTGGGAGGGAAAAGTTAGATTGACACGTGAATCAGAGAACACTGGCTGAATAGTGACTAACACAGTAAAAGATGGAGCACAAGGACAGAGAAGGAGAGCCTAAGGCCAGGCTCCAATGAAGGCTAGTATTTTGTAGAGTCGAGTAAAGAAGAAGGAGACAGCAACATAACCGATATTTTGATACAAGATACTAGGGAGTCACTAAAGACCTGAAGACTCTGGCACTGGATGCCGATGTAGAGTACTGTGAAGCAGGGTCTCAGTACCAAGGTAAAACACACTATGCTCTATTTTTGCATGAAGTCTTGCCTAGTGTAGTATCTGTATTATTTCCTAAGAAAGATAAAATGGTCTATAGAAGGTGCTATGAAGGCCTTCAATTGTCAGGGAACTCCTATCCAAAAATATCAATTTTAGGATTTGATTTTAAACAAAAATTAAAGATATACTGTATGTCAACAATTCTATAAAGACTATAACTGATTGAAAAAAATTAGTAAAACTTGGAAGATAAAAGAGATCCCTTTATAATTTTAGGCAAGTAAAAAGAAAAAAATCAGTGAATTCTGAGGCAAAGATATAATTCACAGGTTAAAACTAAAAAAGATTCACTGAAATATGATGCAAATTCATAGCCAGCAGAAGAATGAGTATGTCTCAATGCAGAAGTGAATATACCCTCCTGCACTGGTGTCTGGATGGGCTCACTACTGACAGTGTCTCTGCAGAGGTCTAGAATGAGCTTATTATTAAATGATAGGACGTTCAATTGCCTTACAGACAAGGAAGAGCAAGGAAGAGCCAATTGCTTCAAGTGATATTGAATAGACTCGCAGTTACATTAAAACAAGATAATAGGACATTTAATTTTTAAAAGTACAGAATTTTTTTTTATCATATAGCTTAGACAGCCATCATTAGCCTGAGATATTCTCTTCTAGAGTAAGTATTGGGGTCCACATCAATATTCTGTAGATTGATACCCCAATTTGACAACCACAAGCATCACTCAGACTATGTTTAATTCCTGGGGTCCTACTCTGGGGAGTCTGTTTGCTATGGGCTGGAAACTCTATCTGGCCTGGCAAGCGCCTGTGCTGTTATGATCTAGAAGTGCTGTGAAATATTAATGTAAATAAATCATGTTTTTACTGGGAGCCATGGATATCTTAATCATTTGAAAATTCCAGTGTCTATCAAATTTTCTTGGGCAGGCAGATCGTCACATACTACACGTAACAGTGCTCATGACTAGGCCTAAGAGTTGTCCTCATCTGACTGGGGCTGACACTTTCCCTAGTCCTTACGGCTAGATCCTCTGCTATCTTATACTCCCTGCCTGTGACACAGAGACCTTAACTCTTCTTTTGCCCCAGTGCAAATCTGAAGGCGAGGAGTGAGAGGAAGGTAACCCTGTGGCTATGTCCCCACAGTCACACCCCAGAGCCCCTCCTGCTCCTCACCTGAGAGCCCCTGACCTAGCTCCTGTGGTGAAATGCCCCGGGTAGCCTTCCTACCTGAAGAAGAAGAGGAACAAATACTGAGTCTAAGTTTTATTCTGAAATTCAGATAATTAATGTGTCAGTCCTAGTCTATAGTTCATTGGAACATATGAACATTTATAGAAAAATCTTTGCAATATCTTAAAACTGTGTTTTCCTGTTGTTAGTTTTACGCCTTTTCATAATTATTGGCATTAGGAAAAAAGTTATAAATGCTGAGATTGTACTGAAATGGGAAAACCCATAAGATTAAATGAAGTTTCACAGGACACTGGAAAGAAGACCAGATGGGCCTGTGGGAAGAAAAGCACGGCTGGAGAGCAGGCCTCAAGCCACGGAGCACAGAGTTCTCCTAAGTGATGACTCTGAAGGAGACAGCACTCACGTTCTGCAGTGCATTTGTAGTCAAGAGTCTCACAACTGTACCACTTTTATAGTAAATGATGAATAACAATGACAGGGTGCTAAGAATACAATGCAGGGGCTGGAATGGAATGTAACAAAAATAGCACAAAAGCATGGGCACAGCTATGCCAAGACAGAAACTCAGTGTATGGTTCTTGCATGTGGCATGACTACAGAAATCCAGTTTACCTTACATGTGATGGCTCAGCACAACATGCTTTATAAACATACGTGTAAAATAAATCTAGAAATTAAAGAAACTGTTACATGAAAAAAATGGGTACTCAGTGGTCACAAAGGGTTTAGAGGATGTGATAATATGTATAAAAGGGAGTTATTTCTCCAAAATTAATGCAATATTTCTAACTTCAATTGGAACATATCTTTCTACATATGCTAGTTTCAAGAAAAACCAGTAAAATACTGATAACCATTAAGATAAATTAAAATCCTAATAACTCTTCTTCCTGGTGTTCATCTAAAGTCACGGACAGATTGCAAGAACATTGATACCCTCCCCCACAACCAAGACAGGGTTTCTCCATGTAGCCCTGGCTGTCCTGGAACTCACTATGTAGACCAGGCTGTTCTTAATCTAGAGATCCACCTGCCTCTACCTCCCAAGTGCTGGGATTAAAGACATGCACCACCGACTGGCTAAGAACAATGATGTTTTAACAAATAATTCAAATAATTCCTCTTCATCAGAGGTGACACAGGATCTCTCTGGGCAAAAGGGACAGGGGTGGTCCACTTAGTAATTTTCCCAAACTTTAGTTAAGATTTTAAAAACTGAAGTTGGTTTATAAGAAGGTAGACATTTCTATGATTCAGGACCCATTCTCCCATGGAGACCAGGGTACAGTGGTTTTTCCTTTTTTCCTATATGGATGGAAGTTAGTAGCCTTACATTTTATCAACTTATCATCTGTATTTATTCCAATGATGAATTTCTACAGTTGTTTTAAAGATTCAGCAGCATTTACTTGTGGCATTAGGAAACCTTTTTGTCTTACCAAGTTCATTCATCGCATGTCTATGCTCTTCATCAAATGAAAGCTTCATGAGAACACACACAGCAGGACAGATTTGATGTTCCACAGGAGCTGGCACTGAAAAATAAATTTACCTAAGCCATAATATTTTGTTATTATAGAAGAGATGCTATTATACTTCTAAAATGTGCCGGGGTTATTAATATGTCCCTAAGGTTGGCAGATCAGCAAGTATTTGCTGAATGATGAACAAACACCACAGTAGTGGAACACGACTGTGCCAAGGGCTTCCGGTTCCACAGCATGTTCACTTGCCTGCTGTAACCACGCCTGTCAGACTGGGTCTCCCATAGGTTTTGCTATAGCTCATATGTGTAATCATTTTAAATGATGACTACATGAAAAACTAAACACACTTTGGTATAATACTGTTGGATTTTGTTTCTAATTTCAGTGTAAACAACTATGATGGCTATGGATTAAAAGCACATGGTCGCATACAAATGTGATACCTAGCAGAAAGTTTCCTATACAGACAGATACATAATACAAATATAAAGAAAAGGGTATCTGAAATAAAGTGTAAAATGCACTTACATCTTTAAAATTATATGCAAGGTCTCAAGTCAATATTTGACACAAAGTATTTTTAAACTATTTTTTCAGAAGCAATAATATGACTTGTTAAATAACTGTGGGCACTCCTCCCCCATCAAGAAAGGAATGTTCTCTAACAAAGTGTCTATTGGCTCTCACCTCTCACTCCAAGTCTCCCTAAGTGAATTAAAAAAAAAAAATCATCCTTGCTCCTTGCCTTATACATTCTTAAGATTTGAAATAATCCTTATATTAAGCTTAGGAAAATTCTGCTATATAGGTTCAAGGACATACGCAAGTGTTTTTAGCTTAAACATCAATTTCGTTTACAAATGGAGACGATACACCTTTCCTTTTCTCCTACTCCATAAAGGCTGCTGTGAGGACCAAGAAACAGCAGGTAGAGTGTGTCCAGTGTATGCGATGTACAATGTAGAAGACTATGGCTGGGTTGCTAAAAACTGAAGGAAATTACGTAAAAATAACTTTCCTGAGCTCCATCCAAAGGGCAACCTAGCTGCTCACATCTCACATTGATTTTAGCTCTACCAAGAATTTTTTTCTTTTTGTGGTTCCTTGAAACAGGGTCCCATGACAAAGGCTGACTCTGAACTCTGTACAGTCCAAGAAGACCTTGAACTCCTGACCCTCTTGTCTCCATCTCTCAAATGCTGAGATTACACACATGAGCCATCAAAGCAGCTAGCTTTAAGTTTTAATTACAAGTGTCTTTTGGCTTGTTCTTGAAAGCTTGCCTGGAGGTTCTAGCAGGGACTGCTGCTACTCATATACCCTGCCTGAATGATGGTCCTCCTCTTCTGGGAAAAGCTGTCCTCTTTAACTGTACTCAGTTTTGGGGAAGCAATAAAGCAGTGAGGGAGGAAGGGAACGCCTGCCCAGACAGATCACCCTAACAACTGATTTGCTTGTTCTGATTGCTCAGTAGTGCATATAACATTTTCCTTCGCTAAAAAGTTTTAGGAAATGCAGATTTAAGCCTTTAATGTGTTAGCAGCAATAGCTAGCTAATACAAATCCTTTTTATTCATAAAGACAGCATACTAACTACAACGAGTTTCTACCTGTAACTTACATATGCTTTGGAACATGCAATGTGATGTACACTACAGACAACATACTTGGATTTTTGTCCTGGTCCATGCCTTGTTCATGGGCTTCCTGCCACTCCCAACAGGTTTCACAGTAAGCTCGTATCTGTTCCAAAAGATGAAGGACTCGGATTTCACGCCTGCCTCTCTTGTCGTCAGGCTGTGAGTGAATGATGTTGTGGAGAGCTGCACTGGCCCTGGCCCGAGCCTCTTTACTGCCCCGGGAATTTCCCAACAATACAGAGTCTTTGTCATTGCCATGTAAAAGCTGGATGAGGAGAGGAAGACATCCAGACTGCCGCATGGATATACAGCTGTCTTGGGAGCTAGACATAGCTAGCAAAGTTCGTGACATATCGTCCTTATCATGGGTACCAAGCATTGACAACAATGAATACACCATTTCCACCTGTGGGCCAAATGAGTTTAGAAACAAAATTATGACATTGATACCCAAAAGCCAGATCTAATGAAGTGATGAATGGGATTATTTACTAAATTCATTAAAAATTAAAACAAAATTAAATAAAAAAACTTCTGGATGAAGTGATGAGTGCTATTTCAAAATAACATACACAATTGATTTATGTGACTAAGTGATAATATTGCAGACTGCTGAAAAAAATAGGTTCTTACAGTACTGAAATTGCTACATGCCTGCATCAGCTAAAGCTAACTGTTACATGAATGAAAATAATTGTTTCTTTTTCTCACATACCCATTCATTCTCATTCTCTCTCTCTCTTTCTTTCTCTCTCTCTCTCTCTCTCTTTCTGGAATGTGTTTATTAAATTCTTTATATAATTTAAAACTTTATTTTACTTCTAAGCAACAGAAAACATTTTGCAGCAATTATAATCTACTAAATTCTAATTCTCTGCAATCATTACATTTCATCAGGCTTATAATTACAACATTTAAACTTATATGATCTGTTATCATATAAAATTATTTTGTCATAAAAAGACAAATGCCACAAACACATAGAAAGTGACAAAGCCAAGAACTGTCATCATTTTCTTTTTGGAAAGCAACTGGTAAGCACTGGTTGCTTACAGTAAGCGGGAAGGATGGACTGAGAAGGACACTAGAATAGAAAGACAGCACCCAGTCAGCAGGGGTCGCTATCAGCTTCCCTTCAAAGTTAGAGGATATTCCCTAAGAGAGGGTATGAGAAAGTCAGCAATCCACAAGGATACATATTTTTGGTCTTAACAACAGCGTCAGAAGAGTGTTAGGGGCATCTTGTAGGTGCTGCTTAACATCGTATAGTGTAACCAAGAATGACCTAGCTATGCTGCTGACTGCAAAACGCTGCTCAGAAGTGTACAGTTCCTAGAGGTGCTAGCTCTATTATGGCAGTGACAGGGCTGGGGATAATGTGTTTTCATCAGACCTAGGTTCCAAGTTTGGCTCCAGCACTTTTAAGCAAGCTATGTGGTATTAGTTAATTTATTTGATGTCTCTTGAGCATAAGCTCTCTGAATTTTCTCCACTGCAAATTGGAAGGATTTACATTATACAGAAAACTACATAAAATAATAGTCTGGCATTCAAATTGTATAGCAAAGCCTGAATATTATTATGCACATATCACTTCTAAAGGAAACGCAGTATGAATGCCAACATCCACGTGCCAAGAGCCAATATTGTGTTGATGCTGAATCAATCTCGTCAGCTTCAGACTAATGGCCTGAAGCAGATTCTTCCTTTCCAATTTCTTCCTCAGAGAGATAAGAATACAAGTGTTTGAGAGAATTGGTGATGTAGAGGCACTCCTTACTGGCACCCCTCAGAGAGGTCCTAAATACAAACTATTGTGGACTAGCATTAATGATTCAAATTTATTTCTTTAATTTTTATTGTTTCTTCTTAATGAATTGAGTCCAGAGCCTTGGACACACTAGGCAAGCATTCTACCAATGACTTATGTCCCTATCCCTAAAGTCCATTTCTTAAATTAACGTTAGTTATTTCAGTGTTTCCTAAGCACTGCCAGAGAACAGAGTAGGCTATGAAGACAATGCCCTGCACTTCTGACTGAAAACATGTTGCTCAGAATTTCATTTAGTAAAACACTGAAGTGATTTTCTTCTCACACTCTCCCCTAACCTTAAAATATTTGCAGCACTGGCTAATGCTCAATTTCAATGATTTTCCATCCATTTCAATAAACATTCGTTAACATTATGTGCAGATACTGTGAGATGCTGAAGACAGAGGACAACAATCTGTTTTCTAAGAGCAAGTTTCAAGCCAACTGTTATGAGAGGACACAGGCCAGTGGCTAAGAGGGCACTGGGAATTAAGAAAATGTCTTCTGGAGATGCAGGGCTCAGAGTCCAGAGCCATGGAAAGATGGTGACAGCCCTTCGCAAAGAGTGTCAGGTGCCGCTACAGGCACGGCACAGAGGTAGAAAGACACAGGGTGCTGAAGCAGTCAGTTTGGCTGGGGCTTTGGATGCTTGCAGGTAAATGGATAATGAGCTGAACAAGAAATTAACAGGCATCTAATTCAGGAGTTCTTATAATTCTCATTTTCTCATTTATGTTTCTTTGTATAAAAACATTATTTCCCCAGGAGACTGAGTCAAAATCTTTAGAGAACAGAATGTCTATGACGACTGTCTTAGCAAAGCATGCCTAGCCTCGACAAGAGGACTTGTTCTCTGCTGTTACCTTGGTCCCCAGATGACTCGTCAGCCTTCGAGGAGCAGAGTGTGTGCTGCTAGAACTCAGAACACTGGCTGTTTCATGATCCATTCGTGTAGCTGGACTCTAGAAATGGGGCAAATTACAGATAGTGTAATTTAGGTTACAAACACAGGCAACTCCAGCCTCACAGTTTAGAAAGGGCTCACTGGAATTCACAAGGAAAGAGGAAAAATAGAAACTTCAGCCTAACATAACGCAGCACCACAGCGGAGGACTGCACAGAATCCCAAAGGAAAAGAGGGAGTGATGACTGCTGTGGACGATGAAAGCTGCATCTCAACACAACCAAGACAAACATGGAGAGCATGACGTATTCTAATGTGGACACAGGGTGGAGTGAATAATTATCTGGGGGGCTTTAAAAGATGTTATATTCAAGCTGTGGAGCCTGAACTTTAGGTGGCAGACTAGCAAAATCAGAATTATATTTTAAAAAGAACAAAGGACATGATGGAAAACCTACAGGTGGCCAAGAGATTAGAACAAACTTTAGATATAAACCAACAAATTCATGGCCCTTATCTAGGCTCAAAGTCAAAAAAAGCATGATAGACACATTTATGAAACAACAGCGAATAAATCACGAGATGCTACCCAGTGCTAGGAAGGAATCATTCATTTCTTTGGAATATAATAATGACATCAGGTATGCATTCTGAAAAGCATTCTTAGCTTGGAAATGAACAGTAAAATATTTACGGGACAAATGACAGAACAGTCTTCGGAACAAAAGGGGTAGCCCACATGGATATGATCTGTATGGACCACTACTGTTCTGCCTTTGTGTCATCTGGAATCGCCTGTGCATGACTTCTCCCAACTGTGCTGGAACTTTATCATACCCACAGGCGTTAGCAAAGCTCTCCAAACAAACAAGGGGAACAAGCAGGGACTAGCCTGAGTAATTTACTTCTAGCCTATCACTTAACTTTCTGAGGAAATAAACACAGATCAGAACATCCTCTTCCTAGCAAAGTTATCAGTTCTCCTTACAACCTCTAGTCATTCACTCAATATATTCATCAGGGACTGTGGTACAGCATGAACTAGGTAGGATTTTTTTTTTTTTAAACTGAGACAGGGTCCTAGTATGTAGCTCTGGCTGTCCTGGAATTTGCTCTGTACACCAGGCTGGCTTCAAGCTGGGAATTAAAGGTGTATGCCATTATGCCCACCATGAATTCTTTATTTTTGAGACAGGGTCTTGCTGTGTAACCCAGGCTGTCTTCACTCAGGTCTTCCCGAGTTTCCAGGCTGTGACTACAGGCGCCCACCAGCACTCTAAGCACTCTAAGCACGACAGGAGTTCTTGCATTTCTGGAGCTTGTAGACTAGTGGGGAAATAAACCTATCAACCAAATAACCAGAAACCTAAATGTAAACCTGCAAGTGTGGGTGTCTTCCAAGGAAGGCCCATGCTACGACAGCCTGCCAATAACTGAGTGTTGACCTGAGTTCGGCTGAGACACACATGGGCTGGGCTAATGGAGCAGTGTGTGATGAGAACAGCTCGGCATGGAACCAACAGGAGGATATTTACTGCAAAAAGAGAAGTCAGCATTTCCTATTTATTTTTGGAAGAAATAATAAAGTAAATTAATAGGCCTCAAGATGTCACATATACAGATCTTATCAAGACAGGTCGAAGGGCCAGGTCTGGAGGTGCATGCCTTTAGCCTCAGCGCTCTGGAGGCACTAGGCTGGCAAACTGCAGTGGTAAATTCTGCTTCAGTCTTTCAGAGAGCTACAATTAATGCTTGAAGACACCTGGAGAAATAAATCATAGGCATAGTCTACCCATCTACATTAGGATTTGAGAGCAGCGACTGATAACCAAATCACCAGTGGTGGTGGAATTCATGTAAAACAAAACAAAAGAATTTATTATTTGAAGGAGAAATACTGAACCCTGAATTACTGCTGTTTTCTTTTTCGTTTTTTTTTTTTTTTTTTTTTTTTTTTNAGAGCCTTCTCTTCAGTCCTGTTTCTAAATAGTTTTGTAGCAGATTCAGGGTCACACAGGAGACAGAAATCACACGATACAAACAGGAAAAAATTTCTTAGATTGAGACTCTGGCCTGCCAGCTATTAATGTATCGCTCACACTGATGCCCAACCAAAAGTTTTGTCCCGATGCGACATTCATGTTTTGTTTTTTTTTTTTTTTTATTTTTTTTTTTTTTTTTTTTTTTTGAGACAGTGTCTTGTTATGTAGCCCAGGTTTACTTGCGTCCCACCTTGGTTTTCACAGTGTTGGGATTACTGGTGATTGCTATCATGACTGATTCACTCCTCTCACTAGACCCCTCCTTAGCTGTTCTCACACTAAATAAGTAACATGAGGCTTCAACAAGACTCTAGGGCCTTACATGACAGAAATGGAAAGCAGCACAGTATTTCCTCAAAAAAAGAATTGTTTTCATAGCTGCTATATACTTTAAAAACCTGACACTCATTAAAAAGTAAAATATACAAATGTATAAACAGTAAAACAAAAGCTACAAAAATCTCAACACATGCTGATAGTCTGTGACACTGACCTAGACATCTATGCAGAGCACACACACATGTGCACAGAGAACTGTCTCACTGGTCTTCCTGTGCCCACTCTGAAGTATCTTTAAATAGCTGATGTAAATATCTATATATTTTTATTTTTTTATTTTGCTTTTTATAAATGTTTGAAAATAAGATAATCTTGACTTTTTTGCTGTTGTTCTGAGACAGGATCTATTGTAACCCAGACTGGCCTCTAACTGTCTCTGTAGCCAAAGGTAGCCACGAACTCCTGATTTTTTTTTAAAATATTTATTTATTTATTTATTTTGTATACAATATTCTGTCTGTATGCCTGAAGGCCAGAAGAGGGTGTCAGAACTCTTTACAGATGATTGTGAGCCACCATGTGGTTGCTGGGAATTGAACTCAGGACCTTTGGAAGAGCAGGCAATGCTCTTAACCACTGAGCCATCTCTCCAGCCCATGAACTCCTGATTTTACTGTTCCTACCTTCCATATTTGAGACAGTGTTCTCTGCATTGCCCTGCCTGTCCTAGAACTCACTGCTCAGCCCATCTTGACTTTCTAAAGGTCAAGTTCCCCGCTGAGGACTAGCTTTCCTAGAAGTTGTTATGCAATTGGTAAGGGAGAAAAGCAACCAATAGTCCTACCCAGCTGTGATCCCAATGAACCACAACAAAAACCAGCATGGTAAGTGAGCTGGCAGGTGCTGGTGCACACCTTTAGGCCCACTCAGAAGGCAGTGGTGGCAAATCTCTGAGTTTGAGATCAGCCTGGTCTATAGAGCGAGTTTCAGGACAGCCAGAGTTACACAGAGAAACCCTGTCTCAAAACACAACACAACAAAAGATATCCCTGTCTCAAAACACAACACAACAAAAGATATCCCTAAGGGTGCAGAGTGGCACTCATAGCTTGGTGGTAACCAACAGTAACAGGACTTAAGACCTGCTAAACAGGAGGGAAATGAAATCGTGCTTGGAACTGGAAACCTAGCCCACTATCCAGGGCAAGTGAGATCATGGGTCTAAGAGGAGAGCATCACCAATAACTGATTAAGCCAGTGTACTTCCTAACTGCACTCTTGGTACTTAGCCTCACGCTGCAGATCAGTGTCGTCCCCCCTACAGCAAGGAAGTTTCTCTCTGAAATAGATGGAGACCATTACAGAAATGTCAAAATGCAGAGAAAACCTGTATGGCAAATACATCTATGGCACAACTCTTGTCCCTAAACCACAGGGAACATCTCAGATGAGGAGTCAAAAATTGTAAAAGTCAGGACCAGAAAATCTGCTGTGGACTGTGTCTCTTAGAAACGACAGGGACATTTTAGTCATGATGCTCAACAATATAGCTGCCTAAACAAGGTCTGAACAAGAACAACACTGAATAGATATGCTACTGTGGAAGGAGGAATAGCTAGTGCGTGGGCTGGGGAGGGGACATGCCTAGACAAAGAACGACAGGCAATAAAAAAGCTGAGAGAAGAAGAATTAGTCTTCTTCAGGGACGAGTCCCTTAACTGGTAATCCAATACCAAGTGGTCAGTCAGCTCTGCAGTCATGTACATTCAAGCAATACTAAACAGACTCAGCAGGTTCTGTCTATAGATTTATATGTTATATAAATGCACAATGTAGTAATAACAAAGAAGAGGTCATGAATTTGAGGGGAGAGCACAGATAGATGAATACTGGAGAGACTGAAGGGCAGAAAGGGAAGGGGAAAATGATGCAATTATATTTTAATTTAAGAAAGGGAAAAGTAAAAAAATAATCTCACTTGTCAAAATTTTAATTAAATCATTTTACATGTATGAGTGTGTTGTGGAATAACAGGTTACATTCATTGATGCTGTGGAATATCTGTTTAACAATGCAAAAATGTGTTGCATTCTTTTATGTTGCATTTGTTTAACTTTGTGAAACTGTGCTACTTTGCCTGTCTAAAACCCCTGATTGGTCTAATAACGAGATGAACAGCCAATAGCTAGATAGGAGACAGGAATAGGTGGGACTGGTGGGCAGACAATAAATAGGAGAAATCTAGGGAAGAGAGTGAGAAACGAGAAAAGGAACCAGGGCCCCACCACACAGCTACACAGCCAGACACAGAGTAAGAAGGAAAGAAAGTTCTATAAAATAGAGAAAGGTAAAAGGCCCAAGAGGCAAAATGTAGTTAAAGAGAAACAGGATAGAAATCTGGTTAGAAACTAGCCAAGCCACGGCAGGGCATTCATAAGTAAGAATACATCTCCATGTATTTATTTGGGAGCTGGGTAGTGGGCCCCCAAAGAATAAAACAAAAACAAAACTAACTATATGGGTGTTTTGTCTGCATGTATGTCTGTCTGTGTTCTACTTGAGTGTTTAATGCCCTTGGAAGCCAGAAAAGGACACTGGACCCCCTGGGAATGGAGTGAGCCTTCATGTGGGTTCTAGGACTTGAACCTCAGATCCTCTGGGCAACTAACTGGTCAGTGCTGCTAACTGCTAAGCCATCTCTCCAGCACCTGATTGTGACTTCGGTTGTCTAACAATCCTGTTTTGATTTCTCCAAATACTAAAGTATTCACATTCTTCTGAAACCTACTGATCCTTCTTTTGTGGTTTTCTCACCCATTTCATCATAAAAATTTCCTTTTCATCCCCCCCTCCCAGTTTTTTGAGACAGGGTTTCTCTGTGGCTTTGGAGCCTGTTCCAGAACTAGCTCTTGTAGACCAGGCTGGCCTCAAACCCATAGAGATCCGCCTGCTTCTGCCTTCTGAGTGCTGTCCTTTTAATCGTTTTATATTGCAACAGTCTCCATTTCTGATATTTAGCATAATCAACCTAGAGTTGGTTTTTCTATAGTACCACAGAGCTAGTATAGATAGCTTCCATCAGATGAGCAATACTTACGTCTGAACAACTGTCCAATTAAATTGAACTCCTCATCCTTCTGCAATGTAGGAATACATAGTTCTCAAAAAAAGAACTCAACCCTTCTATCTAACTCTCATTATTTTACCCTAATTTACCATTAAATAATTTTCCTGTATAGTGCTAACCAGTGATTCGGAATTTTTTTTTAAAATTTATTTATTTATTATGTATACAATATTCTGTCTGTGTATATCCCTGAAGGCCAGAAGAGGGCTCCAAACCCCATTACAGATGGTTGTGAGCTACCATGTGGTTGCTGGGAATTGAACTAATGACCTTTGGAAGAGCAGGCAATGCTCTTAACCTCTGAGCCATCTCTCCAGCCCCAGTGATTCAGAATTAAGTATCTGTTTTAGCTCAGTAAAAGGAAATATCTTTAAACAGGAAACACCTGAAGCTTTATTTAATGAATTAGTAGAATAGTCTCTCTCTCTCTCTTTCTGGTATAAATAGTACCATCATAAGTAACCTAGAAAGACTAATCTTTTTTGTTGATAGTAGGAAAATTATCTTAAAGTCAGTTTGGTGAAATTCCATTTTAAAATATTTATTTACAACATAAAATGTATTTTAAAGGAAACTTGAGAAATACAGGACACACCAATGAAAAGTTGTCATATTATTTTGATAAGCACTAACTGAAAATTGGTGACAATTTGTACAGATGGTAAAAATATAACACAGTACCAGCTAAACACGATGAACTATACAGCTTACTGTTTATATGCATCACAGTAATCTTTTCCAGTTAAGATTTATTTCTAAGTTTGTGTAATTATGAAGTACACCAGAAAGTAAACACTATAAGGGTCTTTGCAATCATTACAAACCCAGAAACATGTCTTTGTACTGAGAGCCTCAGAGGAAAGCAGAAGCATGCCAATGTAGCAACAGCAGGGTCAACCACACAGAACTGAACACTCTCCAAAACTATGCAGGCCACACACTGGAGACCAACGCAGAAACACGATCTGGAGCATAAAGATATTCCAGCAGACTCAGAAAGTATATTTAAATGTAATAAGGAGAAAAGATAGGACTTTGAAATTCAATGTTTCTAGAAACACATTCTAAGTAAACAGGAAGGATTTGTGGCTCATTTACTTTTTAAATACTGAATCAATACAAAAATATGACAAAATGGTTCATACCTGGCTAGTACTAGAAGTTGCCATGTTGTTTTCTGCCATTCCTTGACCGTCATGCTGCCGTTCAACTTCATGGGAGGCAGATTCATGCTTGCTCTGAGAAGACCTCTGTTAACATGGAGTTAGCATAAATTATGTACAAAAATGGAGTACGCTTTTATAGCTCACAGCTTGTCTTTTTCTTCCAACCTCTTAACGAATCAATTATACAGGCTGACAAAAGACGAGAGGCACACGCTACACGTCCAGCCTCCAGCATGGCTTGCAGTCGTCTATCCTGGTAAGTGGGAAGGGAAGCGTCCCCCTGAGCATTTGAGCTGCACAAGACAAAGGATTTTCTGAGCTCACAGAAACACATCCTCCACCAGATGTGCTTTCCTCACTATCAGGAATATAAGCCGACTAGAGCAAATAACTGTCCTTTTCTGCAAGGGCACACGACTGTGGCATTTAATGGTGCTGCTGCAAATATAGCAGTTACACTAACACCTAGGCTTACAATAGCTCCCGTGCAGACTTTTTTTTTTACAGAGAATATGTGCACATCTGCAAATGTCATAGGAAACCAGATGACAAGCTCTTCAAAACTGATATGTAAAACAGAAAACTTTGCTAATGTAGCCACCATCTGATATATGAAATAAAAGTGACATCGACCTAGTAAACATACCATAAAATTATTTTCGTTGCTACTTCATAACTGAAACTTTTCTACTATTACGAATTGTAATATAAATACTTGTGTTTTTCCAATGGCCCCAGGTGACCTTGGTCAAAGGGTTGTGACCCACAGGTTGAGAAGCACTGCTAAGCAGGGCTTAATGAGGTATTCTGGTGTGAGTGCTGACGATCAGAACGCTGACAGGAAGGCAGACAACTGTGCTCTCTGGGTTCACAGGAGGAGCAAAGACTCTAAAGGAACCGTACTGGAGGCTAGCTGTGTTATATCTGGCAAAAAACAAGGCTGCTTTTGACAGTACCCTGAAAAATGAAGCGAGACTTAATTCAAGGGTAACGGATTAAGTTGTTTGGTGGAGGAAATTTCAAGACAGTGTAACATACAGGCTGGGGCATGGTTTCACTCACTGCTCTTAGATTTACAGTGAAAGAGAACAAAAATATATGAAAAACGTGAAATCTATCAAACGAAGGAGCAGGCAGAGAGTCTGAAGTTGGATTAAGGATCAGTGTAGATAAATGTTTAAAACGTTAGAGGCCGGCACAATTATGAAACTCACATTCTCTTTGCAGGCAATACTCCACTCACTGAAGGCTCCAGCCTGTAAAAAAGTATAAACTCATATGGAAGGGGGAAACTGAAATGAGAATGTCACCTTACTTGAAAACTACCACGGAAAATGTTTCTCAAGTTCTGCTGCCAAGGGGCACAGGGGCCACCCCAGATAAGGTAAGAACTGGCTAGACTACTCCTCACACTGGCCAGTTGGTCAGGGTTGCCCATGTGGTTTTGCAGGCATGCAACTTCAAGATTTATAGCTCATGAAAACTTGGGCCAAGAATCCAGGAAACTGCTGTGGACACGAGGCAGAGGTAGAGTCCCTGCAAGGAGGCCCGAGAGCCCACTTCGTGAGGCTGTGAAGTGATCCAGAGACGGCAGACTGTGAGGTGTCCTAAGGAGAGCTGCACATGTGCAGCAGAAATACCCTAACAGAGGCTGCACGCGCTGCAGGAGGCAGAACTGGAGAGGCGGGGCAGCATCTGGAATCTGCCACTTACTTTGGTTTGATCTTTCCTTGCTATCCTCCCAGTCCTTCCTGTTGTAATGGGAATGTTTGCTATGTAGCTGAGGCTGGCCTTGAACTACTGATCTCCCTGCCTCTGCCTTCTGAGTGCTGGGTAACAGGAATGCATTACTGGCTTGGCAAATAAATAAATAAATAAATAAATAAATAAATAAATAAATGCGATTCTGCTTAAGCAGTCAAGTGCCACAAAATGTATCCATTAGGTGTTCAATTAAGTGATTTTCAATAAATTTACCAAGTAGCACCATAATTCAGTTTTAGAATATTTTTATTATTGCAATAAGCTTTCTCCAGTCCACCAATTGTATTACTACTGTGCCAAGGTATGTCACCTGTTAAGAATGTTACAATTGTTACTTTGTTTTATGAAGTTAAGTAAGTATCCTAAGTCTCAAAGAGAGTGGGTTTTTGAACCGTGTTAGAACTGATAAGACTATGGAGCGTTTAGAGATGGACTAAATGCACTTTGTGTTATGAGGTAGCCATGCCATCTGAGGGTTAGGGTGTAATCAATTAGGAGACAGGAAGACCGTCCTTGAAAGAGACGGTACCACTTAGGAGCTGGGGTTTCTGACTGACTAAAAAGGGGAAAAAGGAGAAAGCACAAGGCACCGGCACTGCCGTCTCCTTTTCCCTACTGCTGAAGTAGTCAGACCAGTTACTTCATGCCCTTGCTCCTAAGCCCTACCCAGCAAGACAGACTGTATATCCCAAACTCTTTCTCTTCATTTGCCTTGTTTCTGCTATTCTGCCACAGCGATGAGGAAATAGGCAGCAATGGCTCCAGGATCTGAAGTACTACTCTAATGCTCCTCCGCTCACACAGTCCCTAGGGATAGGTGAGGAGAAGGTGGCTGGCCGGTCAGGGTGTAGGTGGGCTTCTGTTGTTCTGTTTTGTGACACAGGGTCTCACTGCAGCCCTGGCTGGCCTGGAACTCACTAGGTAGACCAGGCTAGCTTCAAAGTAAGATTTGCCAGTCTCTGCCTCCTGAGTGTTGGGATTAACGGTGTTTGCCACCAAACTCAACTGTTAATTGGGTTTTTGATATGTTGGATTTAAAGTCTTTGGCAAATCCTAAGTGGTAATACACGGTAGGAGCATGAATTAAGAGCTAAGGACAAGAAAAATAAACTGAACAGCATAAAGACGGCACTAAAGTCTTAAAGCCTTAAGTGAGATCGTCTAGGAAAGACAAGACACAGCCTGTGACTGACGCTCAGATGAAGAACTTTCTCTTTGTGCCCCATCCCTTTACTTCCCCACGGACTCCAGACTGAAGCACACTGTACTCTTGGATGACTGTCCTCAATTACCACTCTGCACACAAGAGAGGCTGTTGCTTGCTGACTTCTAGTAACCAGCGAAAGCTGTATTCCTATGGCTCTGTAAAACGGAAACAGTTTCCTGCCCTAGGTGATGGACCTGAGAAGAAAGTATGTGTTTTTTGAGGCAGGGGCTCATGTAGTTTAGGCTAATCTTGAACTTGCTATGTAGCTGAGGCTTGGCCTTGAACTTCTGATCCCTCTGCCTCCTGAATGTTGGATAATATCACTGGCCTGGCAAACAAACAAAAGCAGTTTTGCTTAAGCACTTGAGTACCACAAAATATACACATTAAGTGTTCAATCAGAATGATTTCCAGTAAATTTACCAAGCATCACCAAAATCCAGTTGTAGAGTATTTTTATCATTACAGTCAGTTCTCCCCTGCCTAGTTACATTCCATCCATATTACCACACACAGCACCAGGCAACAGCTCATCTACTTTGCCCTGTTTGGAGTTTTTGTTTGCGAGAGAGGAGAGAGGGGCTCACTGACCAGGTTGCCTTGAAACTCAATTCCTCTACCACCCAAATGCTGGGGTTAAAGGTGTGAGCCACCTCCACCCTATAGTGCACATACGTACATGGAGGAAAAACACCCGTACAACTAAAATAAAAATTAAAAAGGCAAGCGAGCTCCCAAAACTGCTACATATTTCAACATAGCTGCTTGCTGTTCTTCTATTCTATCCTGACAGAAAATAAGTTGCCCCGCCCCAAGGATAAGGCTCTTTGAATAGATTACAGTAAACCTATATAACTGAAACTGGAAATACTGTATAAAAATTTACAATTATTTATCGTTAGCTGAAAATGTACTGAATGATGAAACTCCTGCTCTCCTCCAACCTTGTCTTTCAGCACGCTTCTGGAAGCAACACAAGTTGCTCTAAGAAACACAGCCCCTTCTGTGGTCACTGCAGCTGGCCTCTAAGTTAGAGGCCAGCCTGGTCTACAAGAGTGGGTTCCAGGATGACCAGGGATACACCACCAACAAAAAGAATGTATGTGCACTATGGACAAGCCTGCTACCAATGGAGGTCAGGAGAGAGCACAGATCCCCTAGAACTGGAGTTACAGATGGTTGTGAACTACCAGGCAGGTGCTGGGAATCTGATCTGGTTCTTCTGGAAAAGCAGCCAGGGCTCTAACTGCTGAGCCATCTCTCCATCCCCCTTACCTGCTTGTAAACAGCTCTTCAACTAATCTCATTTCAGCCCCTTTAATACTTACATTACAGCTGACCTGAACAGCTGGTCTCGGAACCCTTAAGGACTCCATGACACATGCTGTCATGGCTGTCTTACTCTCTGTAAGCTCTACCAGTTAGGTCTGGGCAACTCTGCCAAAGCCTCCACTTCACGCCTGTCACTTCCCCTGGTGTTTGTGACTGTTTCATTGAATGTTTTTACTACCATTTCTATAAGGATTATGGGATAACTACAAGCAATAATGTTTGATCTTTTTTTTTTTAAACTAGGAATTACATATAAGAAAAAGCCCACTTACAGGGTAATGATAGCCCAAGATGGTGATTTCATTCTAGAAACCGACAGCAGAAGCTAAAGTGACTAAATTTTAACTGCTGAAAAGTATAAAATGTTTCCAAGTTGGAGAGATGGCTCAGCAGTTAAGAGCACTGGCTGCTTTTCCAGAGAACCCTGGGTTCATTTCCTAGCACCTACATGGCAGCTTACAACTGTCTGTAACTCTAGTTCAAGGGTATCTGGCATCCTCAACATAGACAGACATATAGGCAAAACACCAACGCACATAAAAAAATAAATGAACCTTTAAAAAAAAAGTCTCTCTCTAGAAGCTCCATTTCTCAATCGTGTTACGTTAATTACATGTGTTTCTTTTCTGGGAAGAGCTACAGACATCAACACATGAACAAAAGGGCAGTTTACTAACCTCTACTTCAGCTGCTTGGGACTGTAAGAGCTGTCGTACACGAAGTATGTCCTTTTCTATTTGCTGAATTCTGGCTATTCTTCGCTAAAATAAAAGAAGAGAACAAATCAGATACTCAATTATTTTTATGTGTCTGTGTGCACATGTATGTGTGGGTACCTGTGGAGCTGCCTGACATGTGTACTGGTAATAGTTTCATATAAAACACAACATAGCTGTAAAGAAAAAAACATTGGGGGCTGGAGAGATGGCTCAGAGGTTAAGAGCATTCATTGCCTGCTCTTCCAAAGGTCCTGAGTTCAATTCCCAGCAACCACATGGTGGCTCACAACCATCTGTAATGGGGTCTGGTGCCCTCTTCTGGCCTGCAGGCATACACACAGACAGAATATTGTATACATAATAAATAAATGAATATTTTAAAAAACATTGTTTTACATCAAGGTTTATTTAAACAGCAGAACTAACATACTTCAAATTTACTCCTGTTATAAGTCAATATTTTTAGAAGTTTCCCAAAGTACCTACTGCAACTAAACATTCCTTTTATTTGGGCACAGGGTCTCCTTAGTTAGTCCACTAAGGCTAGAGGGTGTGTGGTGAGGGTGGCCTCGAACTGCGTTCCTTTGGCCTTTGCTTTTCAAGGGGACATTGCTTTTATTTTATTTACAAGGACCACAACAATGGTACAGTCTTGCATTCACACTGAAGAAACCACTGAAACACAGTATGCTCACGTATACATTATCTGTGGCTGCTGGGATTAAAGGCATGCGCCACACCAAGCTAGAAGCAGGCTCTAGTACAACCCAACAGGCACCTTTCCAGTCTTTGCTAACATGCTATGAGACCAGATGTCAAGGATAAAAAACTGTAAGTAAATAACAAATTGATAACAAAAGATTTCACAAAGGCAGGGCAAGAATGGGTTTTGCTTTGAATTTCCCTGAATTATTTACCAGTTATTTCTACATGTCATACTGGACTTTTCCACCCTTTAAACATACTGTTGACCAATCCTCTGTCCGTTTAAAACAAGGGCTGTCTTCAAGAATTAATCCTCAGGATTCTCATATTTTAGGGATATTAATTAGATTTCTTTATACTATTGAAAATATTTTCCCTTTCTATTCTTATAGAACAGATGCTTTAAAATTTTATGAAAATAATCTTTATTACTTTTAGGTTTCCATCTCCCCTCCCCGACAGGATTTCTCTGTGTAGCTCTGGCTGTCCTGGAACTCACTCTGTAGACCAGGCTGGCCTCGAACTCACAGAGATCTGTCTTCCTCTGCCTCCCCCATGCTGGGATTAAAGGTATGAGTCACCACCACCTGCAGAGTTTTCTTTTTTTTTTTTTAAAAAGATTTATTTATTTATTGTGTATACAGTATTCTGCTTACATGCATGCCTGCAGGCCAGAAGAGGATACCAGATCTCATTACAGATGGTTGTGAGCCACCATGTAATTGCTGGGAATTGAACTCAGGGCCTTTAGACGAGTAGGCAGTGCTCTTAACCACTGAGCCATCTCTCCAGCCCGAGTTTTCAATCTTAAGGCATCAAACATTCTACATATTCTTCTATTAATTTTAGCCCTTTTCCATTAAGACTAAGTGCTAATGCATTTTTCACAACTAGTAACCAACAAATTTCTTTTAAGGTAGAGGTGTTCACATCTGAGCCCCTTTTTGAGACAGGGTTCATTCAGTATGGAACTCAGGTTGGCCTCCAACTCGACTTTCCTGCTCAGCCTCCTGAACGCTGGGTTATAATCAGATTAGTCCAAGCTCTGTGGATTTATAACCCAGACGTGCTTGTCATTATCCTGATTATTCCTGATGAAGACAAATTCTTCATGTGAATCAGTCTTATATTTTATAATCTCATCTTGTTTAAGAAATTCTTTTCTATGCAGTATCAGAGACATGTTTATGCATATTTTCAACCAAAAAATAAAAGCTTTACTTTTGATATTTAAATAACTAATCTTTCTGAATGCAATGTGGGCAGGAAGGCAAGAGCTATATATACTAACTAATCTGCTAACTAATAGAAACACAAATACATGTATGCACAATGTATGTGCACGTAACTTCAGTTATCTCCCAACTATAAGATGTGTCATGTTAAGGGTGTTAACTATTACATCGGACAATCGTATTCTAACATAAATCCCACTCCTAACCAAGAATTTATTTGTAATACCAGCTATTGGGAGAGGGCTGCCCAATTTTCTTAATAGAGAGAGACACTGGGTCCATCAGTCACATCCCAGGGCTGACCACTTGCTCAGGAATAACTATTTAGGCAATGCGAAATGGGCTCCATGTATTTTGGTTTCTTTCTTCCTCCCCTTTTTGGTTTTAGTTTTGTTTTAAGAGAGAGAATATGAAGTGGATCTTGGAGGAGTTGAAGAAGGGGAAAGGATGTGACCAAAATATACTGTATGAAAAAACTTAAAGACAAGATCAACTTTACAGAATACAAGCATGTATCTATACCACTATACAAATATTAATTTGTCCTACTAGTTGATATTTAAATATAATCTTTGAATGTTCTTCCAATATGTCTTAAAAGTTTTTTAGAAAAGCAAAAATAAAAAATTCCCCATGCTCACTTGGGAGCAGACGGGGCAGGCCAGGGGAGCGGGCGGGCCGGGCTGGGATGACGGCAGTGTGGATGGTTTTACAGGCCTAGACCACTAGGCCGTCACACATTTGTGTTCACACACAAGTGCTCAACAGTAAAATCAGGCAATGTTCTTCTGACCTTAGTGTGGTTTACTCTCATCCTCACCCGCAGGTCGTCTTCCCTCAGGGTTTCTTCATGCTTCCTTTGTTTCTCAAACATGGACTGCTGCTGCTTCTCTTTTTATTTTTTTGGAAAACTTCTGAATGTTACCACACAAACTTAGATTACAAGAAATAACGATCTCAAAGCAGCTGAAACTAGTTATTGGCTGCCAGGAAATCAGCACCTCCCCCGAGATTCTATGCAGAAATAAGCAGAGGCAAAGTGATGTCAATACTGGTTATCATGGCCAACAGTCACGAGAAATTGTCACCCTGTAAACAGTGCCGACACGAGACAGGCTTTGAAGTCCTTTCCTTGATGGTGCTGGAGGGTGGACTGAAGGCCTTGTAGGAGAGGCCAGTGCTCTGTCACTGAACTACACCCTAGCTGCAGTATGGAGTTTAAGAACATCATCAGAGTTGTGACGTGTGCAGTGTGGGAAGATGCCATTCACCTGTGCTCGCTTCTCCATGTCCTGGCAGGTGCCAAGCTGCTCCTCCATTGCAGCCCTGATCTGCCTTGCTTCATATTCCAGTTGCCTTCTTGTCATATCTGTTTGTAGGGAAAACTAAAACCACAAATAATGTATTAATTTCTCACTGTCTATTAGTAAAACCAAAGAACACACAAATGTCAACTGAAAAATTGAGTAAATGACTATGTGAGTCACCATACTTGAGAAATCTATTTTTTTCTCCAAGGAATCCTAAACCTGAGTACGGGCACCAGGAGTAGCTGGCATTCCTAATGAAGATTCAGAGCCGCCTCAAAGTAAAACATGATCAACTTAAGACTGTTGCGTTGAAAACAGGCGATTGGTCCAATTAAAGTGGACCCTTACGACTTTTCCCTGCAGAAGAGGCACCTGATTAGTTGATTTTCGTGATGCCAGGGGTCAACCAGACCCTTATGCATACTAGGCAGGCACAGTACCGCTGAACTACACCACACAGCCCCAAGGAACTGCTTTCAACTCTTAAAACTACTATTCTGGATAGCAGATGTAGCTCAGTTAGCAGAAAACCTACCTAACATGCCACATAAACCCAGGTGTGATGACACAGACCTGGAATCCCAGCCCTCAGCAAGTGGAGGCAAAGAGGATCAGAGGTTCAAGATCATCCTTGGCTGCACAAGAGAACTGGGCTACATGAAACTGTCTCAGACAAAACAAAACAAAAACTAGTATATTAACACAGACAACATTGGGGGAAGACTCAAAAACAGGCATTCATTACTCTTAATGTTTTGGTTTTAAGGTAAGCATTAACTGACTTAAGTGTACAGGCTAAATAGAGATTAAAAACTCCATTTTTAGAATGAAGAAAATGGAGTAAGAAACAAAAAAGCCTATATCTAAAATAAATATTACTAGCCCGACAAAATCAACACCGACCGTGGCAGTACTTCACAAAGTGGTGTTAACCCTTCACTGGTCCTCACACTGGGATAGCTGCCAGGTGTACAAAGGCATAACAAGGGCAGACTATGAAGAGAGCAGAGCAGTCAGCAGAGACACTGGAGCCACGGGAGAATGAAGCAAGGACGGCTGACACTCCTCATGCTGTCGAGGGAACTGCTCCTGTGTGAGTGCCCAATGACTCCAGACTGATGTCTTTTTAAATTGCCCTCAGACAAAACACTCATGTACAGAATGCATTCTTGCAGGCACACCAAATGGTCTGCATGTTATTTATTTATTTAGAGACAGGGTCTCACTATGCAGCTTTGGCTGGCCTGAAGCCACTACATAGACCAGGCAGGACTTGAAATTACAGAAACCTGCCTCCTCTGTCTTCCAAGTGCTGGGCTTTTGAGACTCAAGGGAAGTATCACCACACCCCACTTATTGCCATTTCTTACTCTCTCCGAGTCTATATCATTATTTCTCTATTTGTCCTCCACTTCCCAACATGCTAAAAGGGACAGAGCATGTCATGATAATATGGTTTCGAGTAGGTAAGTGCAAATCCCAGTCTCTGGCCTCCATCTTTGGAGGCCCTGCCCCTGTGCCCGCCCCTTGCCACCTACCCGAGGAGGGTCAAGGTAGCCCACCAAACCTTGACCCCTCCCCAGAGGAGGTCAGTTCCCCTCGGGGCCACCTGAGAGCGCAGGAGTCCTATCAAACCTGGATAGCTTTTCATTGGGCTTGTTTTGATTTGGCATGATTGGGATTTTTGCATCGACAGAGAGCTTGCGTTAGAAAATATTTCTAATAGTAAGTAGTGCGGTATTTTGATAAACAGGTCAAGACATTTCCACATGGAACAAGTGGAAATAAAGTTTGTTAACTTGTTTTCCCAAAAAGAAAGCAAACTATAGTAAATGGTTATAAAATATAAGCAAGTTTAAATTTACTAATGCTATTAATGGCCCATAATGATTACATATTCTGGTATATTCTATTAAACATGATTACTTAAGGAATTTGACAGCCCATCTTTAATTCCGATAGTAACCCACAGCTCCTGAGTTGTAAAATATACAAAGCCCTTTCTTGACCCTGATTTTATGGAGACAACAGGGCTCTGGATTTTGTATATTCTCCAACCATAGTCAATGATTAAAAAAAAATTAAAATCTCATCAACCCTTCTGGATCTCTTAATTTTCATTCATTATAAACTCCCCAGCAGCCGTCTTTCCCTGTGTATGATGTCTTAGGGGTCAGGGAGAATCTGAAGGGCACTGCAGGAAGAGGGGTCCTTCTCCCTTCAAGCCTGGAGTTCTAACTAGTAAACTCAGGAAACCCAGTTAGCTATATTCTGAAAAGCTTTTCTTCTATTTTTGCTTTCTGTCTACTGTGTTCTCTCAATACTTCTACGAGGAAGAAAGAGCCAAAGCTGAGAGCACAGGCTACACTGAGGCAGAATCTTACCGCAGCCCAGACTTTGGCTTCACAAACACCCTCAGGGTCAGCATCCCGGAATACTGTGGTTATGAGCACAAGCCACACACCTGGCTCATTTCCCCTTTTTAAATATCACATAAAATATTGATGAAAGATACAGTCTTGAGATTCTTAATGTATTTCAGAAGCTTTCTTTTCTCTTTTATTTTTGAACAGGACTTCATATATCCCAGACTGGCCTCAAATTACTATATAGCTGAGGGTGACCTTCAGTTTATTTTTTTTAAGAGTTATTATTTTTTAATTTACGTGTACGAGTATTTTGCATGCATGTATACATGTATACCATGTGTGTGCTTAGTGCCCACAAGGCCAGAAGAGGGCGTCAGGTCTCTGAGGATGAAAGTTATAGATGGTTATGCAATTTCTACGTGGGTGCTGGGAAGCAAGTCCAGGTCCTGCAGAGGAGTGCTCCTAACTGTTGAGCTCTCTCTAGCTCTGTGCATTTCTGACACCGCTGCCTCAAATCCCCGAGTGTTAAGAGTACATGTGGGGAACAGAGAGAGGCCCGAGGATGTGAAGTTCTGAACAAATCTGTATTGTTAACATGGGCAAGGCTATGTCAAAATCCCCATAGCCCAGACCCACGGGAAATGGCAAAGCCTTCCCTCCTGGTCTGAATGCCCACCATAACACTCTCCCTTTGGGTGTTTATGGCTTGAAGACTGCTCCCCCACAGCAACTGCTCCTACTACATCTGCAATAGCCTCACCTCCTTGTTTAACATTCTCCATCAGAGAACCCAGTCCACTATTTCTGTGTGTTCATGTCTGCTTGTCTTTTCTTCATTTCCCCCACTGCCTCAGTCAGGCCCATCTCTGGAGCTTGCTGGCCAGCCACTACAGGCATGTATTACTGTATCCAGTTTATGACGTTCCTGGGGTTGACCCAGAGCTATATGCATGTTGGGCAATAAAGGTGCACCCCGACTCTTAGAAACATCCTTAATATAGGTTATCCCACGTGTAAAAGTTAACACAGCGAGGGACAAGTCTGCAGGATTTTTAACTGTTTGTGTGTGTGTGTGCATGTGTGTGCACAAATGCATGTGCATGGCACAGCAGGAATGTAGAAGTCAGGAGACCGTTTACGGAAGTTAGTTTTCTCCTACCACCAGGTAGGCATAAAAGCCCCTTTACCTGCTGAGCATCTCACTGGCCTCCGTTTTCAAAATTTTAAACACAGGAGTATTTGCTAAAGGGAGTCAAGAATTCACAGAACAGTAAGATCCAGGACTCTAGCTACTGGCACTTGCACCTAGAGAGAGTAAGGTTCTAACTGCCTTCCAGGATAGTTTAGTTGTAAAAACTATCTGGCAGGATTCCTGCATTGTACAGAAAAACCCAAGCAGATGGTTTAATGTTTCTAACAATTAAACATGCAGTTATCTAGTAGAATCTGGATCCAAACTCATGGGGATTAAAATAAGCATCTGTTGGTACACAGTAAACAGAAGCTGTCAATGAGCTGGCATGGTGAGGCAGGCCTGCACTCCACTCCCAGCACTCGGGAGGATCAGGTCCTCTTCAGCTTTACAACGAGTCTGAAGTCAGCCCAGGCTACAGGACACTCTGTGTCAAAACTAGAACCAAACCCCACAAAAACAAACAAATGGAACAAAAAAACAAGAAATGCTTACTAACCATTATATACTTAGGTTAATAGCTAATTAAGACACATTATAATTTATAAATCATTAGATATGCAGTTATCTCAAATTCTTCATATATAATCTGAGAACTTTAAAAGATCAAGTTAGTCAATCTAAGCTGTGCTGCCCAGGTACTTACGTTTTCAGTTAAAGGCAGACTATCTATTCTTTTCGTGAGGTTCTGAAGTTGAGCATAATACCAGTCTTTTTCCTTTTCTTCTTTGTCAAGATCAGCAAGGAGTAATGATCTGTGTTTAAAAGAAAGGTTAATTTACACAAGCTACTGCATATTGCCTAAGAATAACTCTCCAGCTGTCACTGTAAAACGATAGTGAACTGGTGAAAAATCTGACTTGGATTGTGTAGTAGGACTTACAGATTCATACTCACTGACATCTGGGTGCCAAGAGTGTTCCTTCCCTGAGTAAGACGGTTCTCAACCTGACCAGTAACAAGCTTTAGCCGAGGGCTTGCTTTCATACAGTCTAAGAGGTAAGTGAAGGGTGTGGACAGCACCAAGTTCAAAGTTTGTTTGGAAGAACAAACACTACACTAAAGGAGTTAGGCCAGCAGCAATGACGCTGGGAAAGCGTGATGTCAGCTGCTGAGCTGTAACAACACTGTGAACAGACCTATCACATCTGCAGTCAGAGAAAGCTGCTCTGCATAGAGGAACTTAGCTTGGAATCTCGATGAATTTATGTAATTCCTGAAGAACCAGACCCACTATATACCTTACCATTATAAATATAAACAAAATACTGTTACTAAGATAAAACTCAAGAGGATTACAAAAGTTCAAGCTCCTTATTGTTTTGTATGGTTCTTTTCCCAAAGCAATGTATGTTATAGTTTTCTTGTGCTGTTTCCAGAAGTTTTCTATAAAGATGCACAGAATAATGTGCATAATTACATGTATGTTTAAAAATATATATATTCTATTATTAGCATATGTTGCCCTATACATTTTTTCACTTAAAAAGTTTACTGGGGGGGGGTCATTCCACGTGAGAACAAAAGACCTACTATGTACTTCTCGATACCTGGCTAATAGCCCATGTATCTCAACAATACTGATGAACCCATAAAGGAGACATACTATGGCCAGCCAGTTCTTTGCTGGGGAGCACTTAGTATCTTTTAAATATTTTTCTATTAACATAAATATTACATGGCTGTCTTTATGTAATAATAATAAAGTACTTCATTCCATAATAAATTCTGAGGGCACATGCATTTTAACTTACCATTCCAGTAAGGTGTTATACCAACTTATAATATACAATTTTCATGAATTTAAGTATATGACACAACTTTGTGTGTGTGTTTTGTTTGGTTTTTCAAGACGGGGTTTTTCTGAACAACTGCCCAGATTGCCCTAGAACTCAAAGAGCTCTTTCTGCCTCTGCCTTCCAAGTCCTGGAATTAAAGACGTGTGCCACTATGCCCAGCTACGACACAACTTTTAATATCTTCCATATCTGAATTTATAAACCTCCAGAATATCACCATGATTTTAATTGATTTATCTTACTGTACATGAGACTATTTTTCTGAGTTTGCAAACCTTCCTTTTCTGTAACTTTGCTTCTTATTTAGAGGACTTCTATATTGAGAATGGCAGTACTTAGTCACTAGGTTGCATATGCATTTTTTCAATTTATCACTTATAATAGTTTTGTTATTTGGAAAATTTGGATTTTCATGTAGTCAGATCTGTGAATGTTTTCTATTATGGAATCTGGAATTTGGCCACATGAGAAGATGCTTCCCACTCTGATGATATTTTTAAAATTCTGTTTGGTGTTTCCTTGAGAAACATTCATAATGAGTACAAATGCATGTAGAAGGTTGCATATCTTACTGAGATCACCTTTCCTCAGAAATAATCTCAAAGACAAGCAACCTTATGTAAGAAAATAAGTGGGTAGGAACTGGCAAGAGATAAATGATGCCAAACATGAGCCAAGAGCATTTGCCACAGAGAAGCGGAGACAAAAAAAATCTGCGGTCAGTCCGTCCTCTGTATCTTACATTAGAAACGCAAAGACACTTTCATGCACATGCCACACCTACTACATAGGAACAAATGTTACCTTTCTTTTTCAAGCTCTTCCAAATATCCAGTACTTTCTCTGCTTCCATTTACAAACGCTCTTCTTGGGAAGGACCCCATGGGAACAGGACTGCACTCTCCGGAACGGCTGGATACCGACCCTTCCCGACTCCCATAGGAGTGAAGGGACATTTTTGAGCGTAGTTTCACTCCAGGAAAATTGCTATCTAAGTTAAATTCTAAGCAGAGACAAATTTTTATGTAGTAACTGCTTTATGTCATGTAAAATATTCCTAAAGCTACCACATTATTTTAAAAGAAGTCTCAGGTTTATATTTTAACTACAAATGTACAAGGCTGAATAAATAATTATTTAGAATAGTCATAATTTCCCTTGCAAAGTCAGCTTGAATCATGAAGAAAACAAGTATGTTAATCATGAAGAATTACACAAAATGTCCATCCTTAGATTCCCTGTGATAATATTTAGGGACTCAAAAACCAATTATTCTAGTTTCAATTATTACTAAGCAGGGTCCCTGTCTGACACTAGAATTTCTAGGCAACAAAGTGAGAAAGACATTTTAAAACAGATCCTATTAGAAATGGCATAGGAAAAGCTATCACCTCCATCCCAGATGGAACACAAAAGACAATAGCCCTTGAATCTACCTGCCAAGGGAGTCTTGTGAGACATGGCATATTGAAGCATATTTAGTGACTGGTCAAATGCAATGAATTTAAAAAGTAGCTCAGAATTTCCAAGATGAAAACTTAAAATCATACATTTAAAACAACGGGCAAACAGACCTTTTATCTATTTGCATTCAAGAGCTATGACCAAACATGGAAGTTGGAGGAGCAAGCTGAGCCCAGTGTTCAAACTGAGAGCAGCTGAACTTCAATCAGTTGTCATGCTGAGTCTAAAACAGTATTTTTAAAATACTTAAAAAAATGTACCTTTAAGACGCTCTAGTAAGTCAATCTGTCCAGAAGAAGTCATAGTTTCATCTTCAATACTTCCCTGTAGCTGTTTAAGTACTTCCTATTGAAAAGAGCACAGTACATTAACATGAAATTCTAAGTCACTCCTTGAAGACATGAATCTGTATTTCTTGGCATTTAAATATGACCACGGATGAGAAAGCTACTTCAGTTCAGGATGACAACATACCATAAGCTATAGTGTATATTAAATATATTACTATCATTCATTGTTACATCTCAATAACAATAGTGGCATTTTGTGATAGTGGGGATTACGAGGAGTCTCCACGCAAGACACTTCATGCCACACTTAAAAGGAAGGTATGGGGTGTTATGATCAAACTGCATTACCTGCAAACTTGAAAAGACATATCAGCTAACTTTTATGAAAAGTAGAATTATTATCATTCTGAATCAGCTGACACCTACAGACTTGCTTAAGTTGTAAAAAATGACTGTTTAGAACTTGTACCTCTTGGGCCTGTATCTGCATGACCAGAACAGGAGCCTGCTGTTTAGCAGCTTACTGCCCAAGTCCACAGCACAGCTGAGCACACTAGAGCACCGACCTACACTTGGCAGACACCCAGGTAATAGCTGCCTCTTGACCTTGCTACCATTGTCTTCCTCTTGACCTTGAGACCACTATCTTTCTTCTCACATAGATTACTTCATAAATTTTAAAAAAGTTGGAAAGTCATTTTCAATCTACTTTTTCTGTCCAATTATCTGTAAACCTTGTCTTTTACTTGTACTCCTTAGTAACTTACTTATAGTTCCCGTATATTGGAGCACGTCACTCTAGCCTCCAGCATGTCCTTTGGCCAATTTGATTTTGAAAATGTACTGAATGTCCGCCACCCTAAAACTAAAGGCAGTGTTACTGTGTGGGGAAGTGATCTGCCGCAAAGTGAGCAAAGCAGGAGGGGCAGCTCCACGGCTCTGCCTTGATCCTGGCCCTGTAAGCTCTAATGACAAATGAGCTGTGGGCTGGGCTGAGCGCGTGGCCTTCAAACAGACAACAGCTGTTTGACTGTTAACTGAAAGTCTTGGGTAGGGAGGTGTTGGGAAGGTGAATGATGTTCATGTGGAAATCATCTCAAGAGAGTATCAGCACTGTGAGAATGAGACCATATTCATATGGGGACACCTCCCTTACATGACTGCAGAGCATGCCCAATGGTCAGCTGTCAACTGCAGGTCACTTCACCTCTTTCCCTGTGACTTTCCCCCAGGGTTCTAATCTCCTTCCATCCATGGCAACTACCTGTAGCAGTCTTTTAACCTATGACAAGATGACCACAGCACGTCATACAGAAAAACAAAGTATGCAAAAAAAAAAAAAGAGAGATACCATTGAACACATTTGTATAGGATGACAAGAAAAAGCTTCTCTTTACGTCGGTGATGGAATTACAAATATAAATCAGTGGATGAGCTGGATGGAAAGCTCTGTGGCAGAGTGTTTATCTAGGACACACAGGCCCTAGGGCTGAGCATTAGTCCCTCCCCAAATCCCTATACAAATTGAATGATTCTGGGATTGCTTGCATTATTTCCTAATCTTAAAACTGGTTAAATTCACAGCTTGTAATAAAACTACTTTTTTAAGCCTCTGAGACTTACAATCTGAATTTGAATCATGGAACCCACATGGCAGAAAAAAATTGACTTCCACAAATTGTCCTCTGGTTTCCGTAAGTACAACACACACACACATACATGCATGCATATAGCAGGTAAATAACTGCGCTGGGCACAGCTTAGCAGTAGAACGCTTTTTGTGGAGAATGTGTGTCACCATAAGTTTAATTCTCAGGGCCGATACAAAAGCCCCTACACATCTGTTAGAAATATATTGATAAAATTTAAGGATAAAATTTTTTAAGGATTTTGTGAGTAGCAATTCTAAAAGGCATCAGCTTGTGCCATTCGTCTTTCATGTTATCTTTGTTAAGTGCTCTGACTTATGAACTCCACTAGGCAAAGCTGGACACCCACCTCGCTCCGATCCAGTTACTCTACCTTAAGATGACAACATTTCGCGTGATTTATACTACTTACAGCTTGCAATGAACAGTCTATGCCTACTCCCTAGCAAAAATAACCCCAGTTGTATTTCTATTGTGAGGTTCAATTTATACAGGTACCAATCTTTAGTCCTTAATGGCTTAACCTTTCCAACTTTGGTGGCCTCAAGTTCTCACCAGTGTATCCTCAGTCCCCAGAAACAGCCACTATGCTACAACTAGACAGTATACAGCCCTTTGAGTTTCTGTTTCCTGCTTTAAACAATCACCTGTCAGATGCTTTCATACTACTGCATGTATTCATCCATTATTCCTTTGGTGAAGTATAGAATCTTCTCTATGAACACACTCCTGATTTCTTCCCCCCCATGGGACACTGGGATGGCCCCAGTCTGAAGGCTGCTATGAAGACTGCTAGTATGATCACTCTGCACAAGCATCTCGTGTATAAGCACTTAGTTCTCTGGGGGTGATTTCAAACTCAAATGTTGAATCACGGTGTTTACCTTAAGAAGAAACTGTTGTTGTTGTTATGTATGTGTGTTTAAAATAGGCCCACCAGCAGTGTGTGAACCCTTCAATATTCCAATTTATGTGAAGCGGTCACATCTTAAATCTAAGTCATTTGAGTAGGTGTAAGATGATCTTTGTATTTCCCCAATGACAGGTGATACCCAATTACTTTCCATTAGTGTACCTGGCCACTTATCTTCCTCCTTGGACTGTCTTAATTCATGTTGCAAAACACTGGCTACTTAAACCCATTTGTTTGTCTACTTGTGTGTGGCACACTTGAGGGGATCAGGAAACTTTTGGGGGTCAGTTCTCTTCCATCTTATTGAGGCAAGGGCAACTCTCCTTCTGCTGCTGCCAAGCCAGATACTCCAAGCTACCAAGGCCTCGAGCTTTTGGGAAATGGATTCTCCCGTCTGCTCTCCTCTTACTTTAGGAGTGCTGGGACTACAGATGTCAGGAGCACAGGATTTCCTTCCGGGGGTCACCCTGCTTGTGCCACCAGTGCTTCACCTTACCAACTGACCATCTTCCCAGCTCCCCAAACTAGATCTTATTGTTTATAATGCAAGTACCTTATATATTTTGAAACAAATTCTTTTGTCAAATATATGTGCAGTGTGGTAAATGATTTTCCTTAGTTGATAATGGCCTATTTTTAATTTTCTTATTGAAGCCTTCTGAAGATATAAATTTTTAATTCTGATGAAGCCTATACTGGCTAGTTTTATGTCAACTTGCACAAGCTACAGTCATCAGAGAGGAGGGAGCTTCAATTGAGAAAAAAGCCTCCATAGGATTGGGCTATAGGCAGGCCTACTGGGCATGTCCTTAATTAGTGACTGATGGAAGAGGCTGAGCCATGATGGGTGGTGCCAGCCCTGGGCAGTTGGTCCTGGGTTCTATAAGAACGCGAGATTGATTACCATGCCACGAGGAGCAAGCAAGTAAGCAGCACTCTTTCAGTCTCAGCATCGGCTCCTGTCTTCAGGTTCCCGCCCTGACTGCCTCTGGTGAGAAACTGAGATGTGGAAGTGTAAGACAAATAAACCCTTTCCTCCCCAAGTTGCTTTGGTTGTGGTGTTTCATCATAGCAGTAGTAACCCTAAGACCAGGCAGTACCAGGATAATGGGATGTTTCTGTGACATACCTGACCATGTTTGGGGGGAGAACTGTGGAAGGACTTTGGAATTCTGGTTAGAAAAGTCACAGAGTGTTCAGTTTGGTGAGCTGTTCTGTAGGAGCTCGGAAGATAAGGATGTTGAGGGCAGTACAGAGGTCCAGCTTGTGAAGTCTCAGAGAAGTTAAGAGTCCATCAAGGTCATTTGTTATTTTGAATTCTGTGGCCTTGTTAGCTGGGGCTGAAGAATCAGCTGTGATAAACAAGATACCTGAAACTGCTTTGCGGGGGATACTCAAGGCTGCTCAGCTGGAGTAATTAAGAAGAGCCCAGGAGGTGAGACCTCTGGGAAGTTGGGAAGTGTTTGGTTCCTGAGAGTCAGAACATTTTTTATTGTGGATACAATTACCTGTCAAAAATTTATAGCATTTCTGGCACTTTACAAATTTTCATTTTTTCATTACATTCTATTTATGTCAAGAATCTTTGACTAACTTCAACTTCTGCATTACCTCCTACTTTCTGTTTTCTTGATTACCATTTTCTTATTTCTTAAACTTGACAATATGCCAATGGTGTGTCTATAAGAACAAGAAAGACTTAAGATGAGTGTATTCTTTCTATAGATTACCCCCTGCTGGGGCTGCCCTCTCCCATCCCACCAGATGCAGTGAATGGTTTGCAGGTCATTTCAATCTATTTTGTTTCTTGAGTATGTTCTTTTTGTTTGGATTGAAACCATGGGTGTCTGTTTCCTATGCCTTCAACCCCCTACTCTATGCAACTCCAGATCCAACACATGGTTGGGAACAAGCCACGCCTGGCACAGCAGATGCATCCATTAAACATCTCACTACAGCTTCTCTGCATGATTTTCTGGTTCTTATCTCTTTAGCACTAAAAATCCATCTCTTGGAGTTGAGGTTTTTAATCTGGTCTAATAAGTTCAAATCCTGGCAAACACTTTATGAAACTAAAGTTACTCTCTCTGTAGCCATGTCCTACAAGCTAATATTAAGCCTTCTATCTCCCCCCAAACCCCGCTTCTCCACAACTCAGCATCCACAACAAAGGCTGCCATGGCTGAAGCTCTTCTCCCCTGCCTTCATGTGTGCTCCCCCGCCAAAGCTGTCAGTTTGTGCCCAGCTTGGCTTGCACTTATGTCCCCAGAGAGGAAAGTCACCAGTAATCTCCGCTTGCTCTGCTTCCCTTGACACAGCACTTCTTCTGTAGTCTTTTAGTAGGTGTATTTAAAGAGGGGCTCTCAACACAGCACACTCACACACTTGTAATTAAACTTGAAGTATTTCCTTAGCACCCTCAGATATGCGGTCTATTCATATCCTCTAATTCTTAATATTCATTCTCCTGTGTTATCTATCCCACAGTATTTTTATGTTTTTATAGTGATGTCAGGTGGCCAACAGTACCCTATTTTGCCACTAGGTGGTAGTACTGCTTATATTTTAGGCTTCCCTGGTTTAATCTGAAGATGTCTTGCCTTGCTTTGTGGAGACTAGGTTAAAGGTCAGGAAACAAGCTTTGCCATTGTTCTATGTGTTCTAAAGAGTGTTTGAACTACTGTGTTGCATTAATTTTAACCCAACATGGGAAGCACCAACAGTTTCAAAAGCATCTTTTTACAAATCAATATAAGACAAAACAGGTCACAGTTCCTGTTCTTTAACAGCACAGAGCCCGTTAGGAAGCAATCCATAAATAACTCAACTGACAGCTGTAATTACTATGATGCCGTAAGCCCAGTCCTAATGAAATAGGTCTGCAAGGGTATGTGCAGAAACACCTTTGCGAAATCGCTGAATTCAGGCGCACCTTAAATATATTCCTCCTGTGTCTGGTTTAAAGGAAGCAGCACAAGGTATGGCTCGAATGGCCACTCTTAAAGACACTCTACTTTCAGCATGGAGATGGACCTAATGTCGACTAAAATGTCTCCTCCAAAGTGTTTTTTAAAAACAATTTTTGGATTTGCTTAAATAGTTAAATGAAAACTTCAAGCTAGAACTGAGTTCCCGTATGACAAATCAGATATGTACCATTTAAACAGGCCCTTCAGGAGGAAGTGTGCAATGTATATATGCAGTCAAGCAAACCAAAATGTGTCTGCACATTGTATCCCTGAACTCTCAAACAGATGCCCTGTACAAGTTTAAAGGGCGCTGTGCTGTAAGTGTTACGATAACAAATGGCTTTTTAACTTATTAGGTAACTGGCTCTAGTGTTTTAAATCACTGATAGTAGCTTGTGGTAAGAAAAAACAAATCATTGTTTATAGTTATCCTCTTTCCAAAATGATATGAAGTGTCTATTTTGAAGACGCTATTGCCAGAGAGCTTTTATGGCAATTAGAATGGGAAAAAGATAATAGGAAGATAGTAAGACAGTGTGTAAGAGCAAAGGCTGAGCTGTTAGGATGCTGGAGCTAAAGGAGAAAGCAGGAAAGAGAACAGTTCTTCAGTGAGATACAGCAGTCTAGAAAAGAAGGGAGACTCTGAAGTGACAGAAAAGAACTAGATAGAATAGAAGATATCTATAGATGGGCAAAATGGAGTATTTAGAGGAAAACGTCAGAAATCAAGATGGTAAAATAGCCAAGTAACAGAAACAACACAAAATTGAACTTTCCCTCAGGGAAGGAAGTAAACCATTTCTGTTGACAATCTCCAATTTTATGAAGTTATTATATTTGTTGGGAATCTGCCTAACCGATAATTAAAGTAACTAAAGTTTTAATCAATTACTTTGAATCTTTTCCCTTCTCCACACTAAATATTTTACTGTGTACGTTTTCTTGCTATCTGGCAAACCAACATCAGTGCTTAGAAGTGTCATGGAAATCATTCTCTAGGCTTATGATGCTTGCATTTTCCAAATAAGGCAATGAAATATTTGAGATACACTGTAAAAATAAAGCTAGTTTCTATAAGCTGTACAGAAACCCTTCCCTCTAAACTGAATACAATGATAAAGTTGGGGTTATTATTTTTAAACTTAAAAACTAGAAAGAACTAGTCACCAGGGCTAATTTATTTTCTTTGAATGATTTGTTATATTAATTTAACACATTTACTAAGAATATGTTAACTTTTCTAAGAAAGAGTTTATATATTATTGTTTAGTTTAAAGTATACTTTTGAGTCAGTTAAGCATCTTAGCTACCCCAAGTTGACAAGAGGATACGGAATGAAAGTGGATCAGCTACAATTAAAAGTTGCAGTCTTGATACCTTCATATTAGATGCCTCAGTTTCCAGTTTTGTAAGATGATTGGAATTATCTTCTAGCTCTTGTCGAAGGTTTGAGTTCTCCATCTTCAGGGCCTCCACCTGCTTTAACAACTGATCATATGAAGCTGCAGCCATCCTTGGCTACCCTTGAACCTATAGGGTTAAAAAGGATTTTGAAATTCACTACTGAAAAATGGAGAAGCTGCTTGTTTTGTTTTGAAGGAAGAGACAATGGCAGCAAAGCTGTCCAGACAGGGATGGTGCTGCGTGCGGGTTTGGTCTCCAAACACGTCACTCAAGCAGCAGCACCTCCTGAGAGGACAGAACACAGGGTCCTAGCTGAAGAGAAACAGGGTAAAAGCAGAAGGCAGACCTCAGCCTATTTGCACAGGGAAGATTTCTAACTGTAAGAATCTTTCAAGGTTAAAGATGATCTAACTAGCTCTGTTATGTCAAACTTACAGAACAGAGCCACCGATAAGGAATTTGTATAGCAATGAATTTCAGTCTTCGATTTGAGCATGAGTTATAGGTTTTCAGAGTCAGAACAGATTAATAAGACCATTCTATCACTTTTATTTAATGAAAGGTTTGTCTTAAAACATCCATGGTGAAGTAGTTCTGAAGATTTAAGATGTCACAGAACAGCAGCCATTCACAAAACTGTCACAAAGGCAAAGATAAAACTGAGACTTCTGATGGAAAGGATAGCCCAGTCTATGGCAGAAGTGGTCTGTGTTCAAACTGAGGCTGAAAGGTATTTGACAGAAGAAAGTGGATGGGATGACCTTAGAGATAAGACTTCAAAGAGAGTGGTGGGAGCAGAGGAGACAAGAAAGAGAGCGCTGTTGGTACGACCAGATGCAGGATGACACAGGGCATGTCAAGACTAAGCAAGAGAAAAAAGAAGAAAAAAGAAAGAATAACAAGAGTCAGGAAACCCAGATTCTCTTTTTAGTTTAATGTCAACTAATTTTGGAATAAAAATTAAGAATAAACAATTCTAAATTATCTAATACAAAATATCACATACATTTAAAGATCCTGCAATAAACTGCTTCCATAAAAGGAAAGGAATCTATTTAGGACAATGCAGGCTGCCTACACCATTGGCTATTCGTGACAATACTGGAGTTGTACAACTTGAACACCCTAACAACAAATCAAGGGACTGGAATCTAGTCATTTCTACAAGACCAGAGACACTGGTGAACCTGGGACAACCCAAGGGTGCCTAAGAAGGGGAGGCCTGGGCTGGAGACCATCGATCGGAAGTTTCCAAAGTTAAAAACAAGGAGACTCGTATTTGGAAGCATGGTCTTAGGCTCAGGCACGGTCATCTATTGGTTAACTTTCACCCCTTCGTTATTTCATTTGTAGAAGGCATTTACCAACCGCTTCAACATAACTTAGAGGAATGCTGTTAGGAGTAACAAAATAGAGATTGAAAACCAACGACTCTAAGTAAATATGTTCTGAAAGCACACTGTAGCATAACTTCTTAGTGAGACCTTACGGTGAAGCTGTCCTTCCGTTACACCAGGGATGAGAGGGAAAGAAGCAGACCACTTTCCTCAGGACCAAGGAGAGCTCTCAGACAACGGCAAAATTCATATGATTAATCTTTTTTTTCTGTTTTATATATGTCAATAATAAGCAGGTCCAGAAATACACAGCATATTGAAATCATCTGACAAGTAGGGATCCAACAAAGCTCTAATAATTAAGCCTCAAAATAATTTACTTAAAATACAATTACAGGCAATGTTACAGTAAAATAACAAAACGAAGGAAAAGCTAATGTGGGGGTGTGCTGAGACAGGTCAAGTTACATAACCACAAAAAAGAGCAAGCTCTGGCCAGCAGGCAGAAACTTCAGACTGATGTCCGTACACTGAGCAAAAGAGTGCAACGCCCACAGCGGCCAGAAGAGGGCATCATATCCTCTGGAGCTGGAGTTGCAGGTGGTTGGGATCCACCCAATGTTAGTGCTGAGAACTCAAGCACTCTTATTGGCCAAAGCCCCCAGATTTGTTTTGAATGGTGGTCAAGATTTTCATGACCTCTACTCCCCTAAAGAATCTCAATCACAAAAGTCCTTCTGCTCTAACAATGAAATAAGAAAACAATGAGATATTTCACGGAGGATTACTCTACCATACAACCCTTCTAGGAGGCTGAAGCTGTCATGTCTTAACCTGCAATTGCTCTATACAAAAATTGGAAATTTTTAGCCGGGCGGTGGTGGAGCACGCCTTTAATCCCAGCACTCAGGAGGCAGAGGCAGGCGGATCTCTGTGAGTTCGAGGCCAGCCTGGTCTACAAGAGCTAGCTCCAGGACAGACTCCAAAAAGCTACGGAGAAACCCTGTCTCGAAAATTTAAAAAAAAAAAATGGAAATTTTGGCATTTACTTTGGGAATATTTTTCATGCAATCATAAGAATTTCACACCAAATAGTGTAACTAGAAGTCATTCAACAGCTTTTTTTTTTAAAGGGCTGGCTGGAGGTGATGCTCAATGGTAAGTTCTTGCCTCCAATATACAAGGGGTCAATCTCCAGTACCCACCCAAGCACAACAATGGAGCTTACGTGATCACATAATGTCACCATGCCTTGTGAATTGGAAACTCAAAAACTTGACTTGACCAAGAGCATGCAAACACCTCAACTTATTTCCCTGTAGCTAAGATGCCAGCTCAGATCCCTGCTCACATCTTGAGGTAGGGCAAGAGCAAGCAAAGGGAGGCTATAACCCTGACTTTACCTAAATGCTTACAGAAAACACATGCACTGCAGAAAACAAAGCAAGGAACAGAAAGGCAAAAGTAGTACAACCAGGATTAAATGTGAAGAATTCATTATTACTCACTTAAGTCTGAAACTGCTATTTTTTTTTAAATAATAGAATTGCTTGTCTTGGTTTTAATACTTTTAGATGATAATGGAGTAAACATTAATGGAAGAATACCAAAGAAAATCAGGCAAATCATAAAAGATCACCTAAAATCGTAAGATCATAAAAGACCATTAGTCAAACAATATACAAGAAAACATAATTTACCAAACTGATCCCCATAAAGAAATGGGACATTTTTCAAGGAAGACTTACAATACAGTTGGGCATGGTGGTGTATACCTAAAATCAGCCTTAGCACTAGAGACTAAGGCAGGAGGATGATTACAAATTCAAGGTCAGCAATTCTGCATAGAAAGACTGGGTTGGAGGAGTCACGATGGCAAAGCTGTTACTACTAGTTTGTATTACTGGACATGAATAGACCACACAGAGAAAAGAACTAAGGAGAAGAGGTGTTTTCTATTCCAGCAACCATCCTTGTTGAAAACAATAAATGAAAGAGCTCTTGCCGGCTAGGCCTCAGCTCAATGTGGGGGCATGCTTCGTAGCTGTGAAGCTCCAGGTTTAACCCCAACACCAGACAACCGAACGCTCCAACTTCCTTAATATGTTTCACATCAGCCCTAGAAGAAGCATCCTCCTTATACAGAAACATTAGATTACAGCAGTAGCTGACACAAATTAATAAAGGAAATTAGAAGGCAAACATTGGATGAAGTATTACACAACTGAAATAGTGGGGAAAAATATATGAATATACTACAGGACAAATATTAAAAATTCATATGTTCAAATAGAAGGTGAAACACAAGAAATAAATCCCATTTACAAGAACTGCTAAGTCATGCTTCCATATATAAATTTATGGCTTTATCTTCCTAGAGGTAATCCGTAGGGAAAACATAGGTGGATGCTGTAAACTTACACACATTGCCAACAAGTAGGAAGGCATGACTGTGCATTAAGATCAGCATCATAAACACGCTACTTTCCCTAAAGTAACATAAATTTATAATTCCAATAAAAATTTTGCATATAGTTTATTTTGGTTGTTTTCTGTAGCTACACATTTGGGAAAAAAGGCTAGCAAAAATATAAAATGACAGTGGAGTAGACCCATCACATACTCACACAAGGCCCACGCTGTCCTCAAATCACCACAGCCCAGGCTAGCCCCCCACTGGTAGCAAGCCTCTTGCCCAGCCTCCCAAGGGCTAGGGCTACACCACCCTGGCTTCCAATGGTACAATCCATTTCCAGTTTCCTTAGTTCTGACAGTCAGAAAGAGTGGAGAACTGAATGAGTGTGCATGGGAACGAATCCTTCTCTTTACTGTAGCTAGTCTCTAAGTCCAGAGTTATTTAAGTGTGGTAGTGGTGGGGTGTGTGTGTGTACGTGCTGTTTTGAGACAGGGTCTCACCACATAGCCCTGGCTGGCCTGGAATTTAAGTGATCCAACTGCTTCTATTTCTCCAGTGCTAGGATAATTCATGCATGCCTCCACAAACAGCCTAAATCAAAGTTTTTTTTAGAAGCTGTAATATTGACATATAAATAAATCAATCACTAGAATATAATTTTTAAAACATGAAAGCAAACATACAGAAATTGAGTCTATGATAAAGGTAATATTTCAAATATGGGAAAGAAGGGTTTAGTAATGCTAAACAGAAGGACGGCCGTGAGGAGTGCCCTGCTCCTAAACAGAAGGACGGCTACCAGGAGGGGAAAAAAGGGGGAAAAAAATCACCCCAACCTTACACAAACCCTTTCAAGAACAGAAAAACAGTATATATCCTTCAATCCATCTATAGGAACAATATGACGATCATGGTGTGAAACTCAAAGGCTGTGAACGAAACAACATAGGCTATTGTTATTCAAATAGTGATTCAAAAACCCTAAAGCAAATATCAGAAAACAGAATGCACAGTAAAGAACCAAACAGCTTATTCTAGGAATGTAAATATAGTTTATTAATATCATTCAGTCCATTAAATATTGAGGTTTTAGAAAGACCTGATTACTAAAATAGAAAAAAAAAAACTCTTGACAAAAGTCAGAGTATAGTCTGATAAAAAATCTTTATAAAGTAGAAATAGGAGGGAGGCTGCTAAAAGTTTCTACAATAAACTCCCTGTTTCGTTTCTGAGATACTGGACACTGAACCTAGATGCTCCTGCATGTTAGGCAAGAGCTCTTATTACTGGGTCCCTAGCCACTACATAATTTTAGCTGTTTTGGTTTTAGACAGGATCTCACTCTGTAACCCAGGCTGGCCTAGAACGGAGAG